GCCTCTCAGCCGGTCAAGCACATGACAGCTCTTCGCCTCGGCGACGCGCACAGCTCTCTTGCTAGCCGCAGCGCGGACTCGCTGCCCTCTGGCGGCTCGCCCAAGCGACCGCACGACTCGCTGCCGCAGGAGGATGAGCAGCCGCCACGGCAAATGGTGCGCACGCAGGGCCGCGGGCGCGGCCGCACGATCGGCCAGAGCTCGCCTGAGCTGCGTCGCAGCAAGCGTAGCTCTCAGGCAGCGAGTGACGACAGAACTTGAAGGCGAGACACGCAGCGAGAGGTGACAACAGGCGCAAGAAGCGGCAGCAATCAATGATCACTAGTATGATTGAAGTGTGAGAGCTAGGCGTCGAGCTCCGTCTCGGCACTCTCGTCGGCGGTGCGTGGGGCCTGCAGGCGACGAGCAAGGCCGAACAGGGTGAGGAACTGCTGCAGGGCAGGCACGCGTGACCTCAAACTCCAGCACAGGCGCGCCGTCGGCCAGGAAGCGTGCGTAGTGCGCGGCGAGACGTGCCTCTTGATGGCGCTGCACGGCGAGCATCTGCGACGGCGTGAGCGCACGCACGGCTGCAGGCAGCGGCCCGCTTACCACAAGCGTCTCGAATCGAGGCAAAAAATGCGCAGAGCGACGGGTAGAAGAGCGCGCCATTGCAGATGGTGACGGCCCAGCACGACACTTCGGCGCACCTGTGGCACGCGTGGTCCGTGCCGTTGACCGTCTCGATGAAGACGCCAGGCGGCCAGCCCAGCTGCTCGACGTTCTCGAGAAGGACGTGGACGGGCCCTGACGCATCGAGTCAGCTGCGGACACAGAGCTGGCGACGCATGGACAACCGTTAGGTGCTCGACAACCTGAAGGTCGAGCGCGAGCGCGGCATCACCGTCAAGAGCCTGGCCGTGAGCATGCAGTGGCAGGGCACGCTGCTCAACCTGATAGACACGCCGGGCCACGTCGACGTGAGTGGCAGGCTTCAGGGCCAGTAGCAGCACGCCTGACGCAGCCGTAGTTTGCCTACGAGGGCGCGCGCGGACCCTGGCTCTGCCGGCACAGCCGCATCCGCCGCCGCCGAGCCGCCGCGTGGCGCCGGCCCCTGCATCGCGCACAAGGCTCGCGGGCGCCTTCTCAGCCCGAGGCTGGTGCGCTCGAGCTGCGCCCAACGACAGCCCAAGCGTGCCTCTTATGCATCCCTGTTGCCGCTGTGGCTCGACTGCTATGTAGAGCGCGGAGTCGCGGCAAGCTCCGAGATCTGCCTGCATGCTGCCGCTTCTTGTTTGGCAGCAGCTGCAGGCGCTGTCAAAGCGGCTGCCGCCGTGCCGAAGGCCGCGACTCCACTTCGCCTGCGCCGCGCTGCGCCGTGCCGAGAGGCTGCGCCAAGGCCACTCCGCTCCAACGTCGAAGGGCTGGAGCGCGACGTCGGAGGCCAGACGACCGCCAGGCACAGGCACACGCAGCTCCACCACAAACCACCACCACCCGCCTGCTCCTTGTCTCTCCACCACATCCTGCCCGCGCACGCCACACGCATCTCTTGTCCCCACCCACACTCTCTTCTCCCTGCACGCGAGTCTCCTCCCCCCAGCATGCCCGCCTTGCGTCTCTCGCTCCTCGCCCTCGCGGCGCTGGCGCTGAGCGGCAGCAGCAGCGTCGCCGCCCAGCTGCAGCAGCGCAGCAGCAGCCTTGCCGCTGCTGATGCACATGCGCTCGTCGCCCGAGTCGCCGACGCCGCCTTCAACTCGGCCTACCTGGCGTCCAACTACCAGAACGGCTCGGCGCCGCCAAACGCGCGTGAGGGCGATGCCGCCGGCCAGACCGTCATACTGAGCACCGTCGGCGGCTCGGACGACGACAGCCAGGTGCCAGACTGCAGCACCATCTTCATTGGCAGCGCCGTCGTGGCCGGCAGCGCCGACGGCGGCTGGCAGGCGCTGCCGCAGCTCGTCGGCTTCGAGCTCGACCGCAGTCTGGTCATCAATGGCGCAACGCAGGTGAGCATTGCACTAGCGCGCTTCTCGGGGACGGGACAGTGGGTGGAGTATGGCACTGAGCAGGCGCGGTATCCGAGCTGCCTCGGAGACATGCTGCGGCCTGGCAAGGCCGTGAGGCCTCCATGAGGCTGCTTTCGTACCAGCTGCGAAGCACTAAGAATGCCGAATGCAGCAGCACTGTTTCGGCAGCAGAGACCGCATATGCTGACGCCTCGCGCAGCCCCTGTACATCGAGAACACCAAGGACTACACCAAGATTAAGCGTGTGATCATCGGCCAGCCGGGCAAGCCGCGTGGTGAGTCGAGCAGCTTGACGCCGGACCGTGCCCGAGTTGATCGCTTCCCTGCTCAGACGCCTGGAAGTACTCGAACCGTCAGTCGCTCATCGCACATGTCTCTGAGCCAGCTCTTACATCTCTCCTGCAGTGTTCCGCAACAGCCTGATCTGCGCTGTCGCCAACTCCTCAGTGCCAACCACGCTTGCGGATGTGCTCATCGCGGCGCCGATGTGGCTCGATGAAGAGGACGCGCAGGCTGGTGCTGCACAGTCTACTGACCTCTACTGGAGCAATGGAGGATGGAGCGTCGGCAGCCAGAGCCGCGGCCCGAACGGCGCGTCGGTCTCGACCTTTGAGGTGATGGACCGTCTCATCGACCGCTTCCTGAACACGACCGAGTTTCCGGCAGTGACGAGCATCATCGTTGCCGGGCACTCGCTCGGCGCCTCGTTCGCGCAGCGCTATGCCATGCTGCGCAAGCCGACGAGCCAGGACGCCAGCATCAGCTTCTGGGTCGGCAACCCGGGAGCGTACGTCTGGCCCACGAGCGAGCGTCCGGTGCAGCCGGCCAGCTCGAATTGCAGCAGCTCCGTCGATGAGTGGGCGTACGGCATCGGCGGCAGCCTGCCGGCCTACCGCATCAGCGACGTGAACCGCAACAAGACGGGCGTGTACCAGGAGTACTTTGGCCGACGCGTGCAGTACGCGCTCGGCCTGGAGGACGACGGCCCGGGCGACACGCACTGCGAGGCGCAGTACCAGGGCTCGTCGCACCTCGAGCGCGGCCAGAACATGGAGAAGGCTCTCGATGGCCTGCCCGGCGGCAAGCCGGCGTCGCACACATTCAACTACGTGCCCAACACAAGCCACGAGGACTACAAGATGATGGCCAACGCCGCCAGCCAAGACTACCTCTTTGCGCAGGGCATCGACCAGCCGCGGCAACAGGGCGCCTCGGCCACGAGCACCTCGAGCGGCTCCGGCTCCGGCTCTGGCAGCTCGCGCGGCGGCAGCTCCACCAGCAGCGGCAGCGGCTCCGGCGGCAGTGGCTCCTCGAGCGGCGGCTCCAGCGGAGCAGCCTCGCTCTCCGCCGCCTCCGTCTTCTCGATCTCGGCTGCGGCCGCCGGCCTGGTGCTTGCTGCTGCTCTCTGATAGCCCGCACGATCTCGGGACGCTTGCCTCGGGCTTTACATTCGAAGCACCTTGCTGCGCAGCACCAGCATCCCACCTTGCACGCTGAGAAGTTGTCGCACGCCGCTGGTCGGCCTTGCGGCTGTGTCGCTCATTGCTAGCTGTTCTAGCCTAATCCACCACATGCTCCGCGCTTGCTTCCGCCTGCCTTCCGACTTCTGGGAGCGCAGGTGCCGTGCGTTCATCGATACGAAGGTGTTTGAGGCTTGCGTCAAGAAGGCTGCTGCGTTCTCCAGGAGAGGAGGAGAGGACCGAGCGCTGCTTCTGCTGCTGCTTGCGCCTCCGCTGGACGCATCATCATCGCCGCACCGCCGCCGGCTGGCGCGGCGCGTGCGGAGGCACGGCCCCTTGCAGACGCGCCGCGCCGGCGGTCCATCCTCCTCTCGCTCAACGCCGTGTGGGCGCTGCCATCTGCCATTGCCGTCGTTGCGCAACGACACTTGTGCCTAGTGCGGAGGCCTGGCGTGCAGGCTGAGATGGTCTCTGCGAGAGTCAGTGTCTCCAGAGTGCATCTCGCGCCGCGCGGCCTCCGCGCCGCGCGGCCTCCGCGCCGCCCGTTTCTTGGCAGGGCGGCCCTGACGCGCATGCGCCCACGCTCCAGCAAGAACTGCCATTGCGGGGTCCGCACGCGCGAGGAGCACTCGACTTGAAGTGGGATTACCAGCATGAATCTTTGCGACGGCGCTGAGCCAGACGCCTCAGCCTCCATTCCGGAGGAGCTCGAAGGCGTGCCGGCCTGCCGGAGGTCACGCGTCCCACGCACGTGGGCGTAGCGATCCGCATTGTCGCATCGTGCATGGCCCAGCGCTCCGGCGAGACGCTTGACGAGCAGGTGTGCCCAATGCAGAAGGTCTGCACCTGCCTCAGCCGGCCACGCTGCAGCATGCGACGGCCCAGTGCGGTGTCTTGCGAGCAAGCAGACCTGCCGCACGCAGCACGCGGCGAGCATGGACCTGCCGTCTTGGGACGGGCGAGGCGCGTGCGGTGCTGCAGGCGTACCGGGCCGGCATGTAGATGGAGCGGCTAGTGCACAGGGTGCAGGTGCGGGCTGAGCTGTGTCTGTGGGAGCGTCGTCCGGCCTGCTGCCGCTGCATGCTGGACGCTGCGGCGCGCACGCAGCGTCGGCGGCGGCTCGCTCCCGCCGCTGCCGGCGGTGCGGTGCGGCGCGGCGCCGTCCATGGGTTGCTCAGCCCCTTGGCACCTCCGCGCTGCCGACCATGGCGCCGAGTGCACATGGCGAGCACGGCCTCATGCAACGTCTCGCATGCATGTGCTGCTACGCAAATCGCCGTGTGTGTGTGTGTTGCTCTCTGCGCTGAGGCCGCTCGCAGCGAGGCACGCCAAGGCAAGCCGGCGGCCGTCCTGCTGCTGCTCATCTCGGTGCTGCGTTCCCGCCGCTGCGGCTGCGGCGCGCGGCGCATGTCGCATGTCGCGCTCCCGCTCCGGGCCCGCAGAGCGCGCTACGCAAGCACGCTACGGCGCAGCGAGCGTGATGAGGGCGCTGCGCTGCTCCTGCCCGCTCCCTCTCCAGCCTCCGCCGTCAGAGCGGGCAGAGTACATATACACTGGCCGCCGCCGGCAGGCCCACTTCCTCTCCATCTCTCTCCTGCTCCGTGTCTGCCGTGTCCACATCTCCTCGCTCGCTTCTTCTCGCTCGCCCGTCGCTCTTTCTGCTCTATCACACATCTCCACACCTATACCTCTACCGACCACTCGCCTCGTCGCCGCCATGCAGCTCGCCGCACTCCTGCTTGCGCTGCTGCCCGTCGTGTCGCTCGCCTCGCCGCTGCCGCAGGTCGTGGAGCGCGCTGAGCACGCCGACTACCTGGCTATCCGCGATGTCGTCCAGCCGTGGGCCTGGGCTGAGCCGGCAGAGGCACGCAGCCCGTCGGACCCCGAGCTCATCGAGGACATCGAGCGCCGCCTCGTCTACAATCCGCGCATCATCGAGCCCACGTCGGCCACTGTGTGGGGCGCAGGCAAGACGCAGACCGTCGCCTGGTCCACCGAGGACATCCCGGACGAGGCGCGCAACTACCGCGGCATGATCAAGCTCGGCTACCAGCCGGCAGACGGCTCGGGCGGCCTCAACCTGAGTGAGTCGTCCACGCACCTCTCATCCCCGACCGAGTACTCACCACCGCCTCGCTGCAGAGTGGACATTGGCGAGCGACTTCCTGCTCACCGACGACCAGGCGGACATCACGCTGCCCTCGGACCTCGAGCCGCGCGACGACTACATCGTCGTGCTCATGGGCGACAGTGGCAACGCCTCGCCGCTCTTCACCATCGAGCAGCCCACGTTCTTCCTCGGCGCCGACTTCCTCGCGGACACCGACTCCGAGACCGAGGCGGCCGAGGGACTGTTCGGTCGCGACGTCCCTGCGCGCAGCTAAGCGCCGCTCCTCCTCTCTCCTCATGCGCTGGCCGCATGTCCACTATTACCCGCTTATCGCTCTACTCTCTCTCAACGACCCTCGCCGCCCTCGACCGCGGGCATCATCCCGCCACGCCAGCACTGTATCGCTTCTCTCAGCCACGCCGCAGCACCGTCTCTGGGCCTATCTACTTAGCACCGCTCCTGTCTCGCTCCCTAATGTATGTTACCCCTCGCTCGTCACGTCGAACACGTCGTCGTGGCCAGCCGAAATGCAACAGCACGCTCGCATGTGCAGCTTTGCAAACTTCTACACGGCTATGCAGATGACATTGTCGAAAAGGACAGCGCTGAGGTGACGGGAACGGCGGGTCGCGCGCCGTGGTGACAGGCAGACTGGTGGAAGGAGAGGGACTGCGCTCCTGAGCGAGATGAGCCGTATGAGACGGCGGGAGGTGTGTGAGGCTTCACAACGGCGCGACGGCCAGTCGGACTGGTTCTGCCGTCGGCGGCTTTTGACGACGTGATGGCGAGGTGCCGATCTCGAGACGCTTACTCTTGCATGGCAGGCGCCTCGTTGGCCTGCGCGCCGGCAGGTACAGCACCCCACACGCGCGGGCGCGGCGACGTGCTGTCCGTTGAGGCAGCGCTGCCAGCACTGCGCAGAGGTACGGCGGGCTTGACGGGCAGGCGGGCCATACGCGCCTCGAAGCTCGCGGCGGACGAGCTTGCGAGCTCCTGGACGTCGGACCAGGGCACTCGGCTCTCGGACGCCTCGGCGCCGTGGCGCGACTGCTCCGGGCTGGCACGCTCCGGTGCGTCGCCAGCCTCGCTCGGCGCACGGCTGCCCGAGGAGCGAGGAGCGCCTGGCCCGCCGGGGCCGGCCACGTACGGCGGTGGCGGCGGCAGCGCGTGAATGTGGGTATGGCCATGCGCATGGTGTGCGTGGGCGTGGCGCGGGTGGTGAACGTGCGGCGCATGTTGATGCGCATGGGCGTGCGCATGCGCGTGCGGCACAGCGTGGACGTGGCTGTGCGCAGGTCTGCCCTGTGCTCTGGTCGGCTCGCGCATGGCAGCGCTGGAAGCAGACGTCGGGCCCGGCTGAAGCGGCATGCCCGGCGCCCACGTGCCGGCGCGCGCTGCAGCGAGCAGAGACTCGGAGCGGTAGATGACGTCCTCGAGGCGTCGCTTCTCTCCGACGAGGTCGGAGATGTGCCGCTCGAGCTCGGCCCAGAGAGCCGGGCCCTGAGGCATGCCGTTAATGGGCGCACCAGCTGGGCGCTGCGGCGCGCCAGCGTGCGCGTGTGTGTGGTGGACGTGCGGATGCGTCGCGTGGTGATGGTGGTGGTCTGCGAAGTAGACGGTCAGCTCGAGTAAGCGGCGAGGCAAAACGATGCTGCTCACGGTGGTGGTGGTGCGCTTGCACGCCGTTCGATGGGCCGTGGCCATTCGACGCTAGCTGCTGAGCCTGCACATTGAGTGCGTGCTGCTGCTCGTCCGGCAGCGAAGGCGAGGCGGAGCTGTCCGAGGTGCGCATCTGGCTGCTGGGCCCGTTCCAGCCCGGCGGCGTCTCGTGCGAACGCATGATCTGCGCAGGCGGCTGCGGCGAGGGCGTGCCGTGCATCTGCGCGCGCATGTCGTGCGCAGAAGCGCCGTTCGCATCGCCACGCATCGGGGCGAGCAGGTTGCTGCTCGAGGCTGGCGACTCATCAGCTCGCACACTCGCCTCGCGGCTCTGCGCTGCGCTCTTGCGGGCGCGCTTGGCGGGGCGTCCTGCAGAGGCGGACGCACGACTGTCCATCGAGCCACGACGCTCGGGCTCGAGGGGTGCACCGCGAGCGGCGTCCTGCGGCATAGCATGGTGCGTCGGCGGGCGTCCTACCTCCATCAGCGCCATGGCAGCCTCGTGTGCGGCATTGCTGCTCTCCTGCGCCAGCTCGCGTGCCGCACGCGCCGCATTGCTGTCGCTCTTGCGACCTGCTGGTGTGGGCGGCGTGGCAACAGCAGCGGCCGCCTTGGTCTCGGCGCTGGCATTGGCGCCCTGCGGCACGCGCTTGCGGCGCTTGATGACCGACTTGCGCATGCCGATGGGCCGCTGCGTGCCGTGCAGCTTCTGATAGAGGCCGCAGGCGTTGCAGATGTTGTTGCCCTCCTCGTCGCGGCGCCACAGCGGCGTCGTCGTCGTGCCGCAGTTGGTGCACTTCAGACCGCCGAGCTCTTCGTCCTCGTCCTTGACCGCACCAGACGCAGCCTCTGCAGCTGGCATGGACGCCTTGCGTGAGGACGAGGCACCTGCGAAAGCAGCGGGCGACGCCTCGGCGCTGCCCGATCGGACAGGCGCAGGCGTGGCGCTCTCTTCGCCGCTCGTGCGCCGCTTGGCGCCGCTAGAAGAGGTGCGAGCAGCGCTTGCCCGGCGCACCGAGTTCTGCAGCGTGTTGTTGTAGGCGGGACATCCGCTGCACGCCGCGGTGCCGCCCGTGCCATTGCAGTAGCCATCGCCAGGGCACGAGCCCGTCTTCGGGCCGTTGCCGGCAGCAGATGCGCAGCCACGGCTCTCGACTGGCGCGTCCGGCGCGGGCGGACGAGCTACGGGGCGGGAGGCGCCCGGCGAGGGCGGAGCAGCGACAGTGAGGCGCTGGACATTGTGCGACTTGAAGTAAAGCGCTGCGAGTGCGGGTGAGCGGGCTGCGGCCGAAGTGATGGCAAAGACGAGACAGCAGCAACTCACCACAGGCATTGCACAGGCTTCCTCCGCTGCCATCGGTCGCACGGCGCCACAGCGGCGTCTTGGTGGTGCCGCAGTTGCGGCAGCTGACCTCGTAGCCCGACGCCGAGTTGGAAGCGGCAGACGCGGACGGAGGCGGCAGCGGCGACGTGTGCCGCGACGACGAAGCCGACGCCGACGCCGAGGCGGAGGCAGCAGCAGACGAGGCCGAGAGGCCCGGGCTGCCGTCCTGCTGCTCGTGTGCGTGGCGCAGGCGGGGCATGGCGTGCATGTGCGGCGTGCCCGGCGCCGGCGACGGCGCGTATGCGGCGTAGCGACGCGCACTGGCGGCGCTGCCGGCCTGGCCGGGCGCCGTGCCCATCGCCTGGTCCAGGCTGGCGAAGCTGGGCAGCGACACGGCGCTGCTGGCCGGCGGCGAGGCGGGAGGCGCCGAGGCGGGCGGCAGCATGCTCATGGGGCGCTGCGGCGCGGCCACGCCGGCGGCACCAGACATCGCAGCGCGCTCAAGGGGTGCAGAGCGGATGTGCGAGGGGTGCGGCACACGTGTGGCCGGGACGGAGGAGCGGAGCGGGGTGTGAGGGTGCGCAGCAGAGAGGCGAGCGGGCCGCCAGATGCAGCACGAGGTGCGGCCGAGCGGCTTCGCAGCGCCGCGGCCTGTCAGCCGGCGCCGCGGCGGGCCAGACGCAGCGGAGAAGCATCGTGTCGAAGCTGCGCCTGCCCTGCGCCGCGCCGCGCCTCGGCACGGCAGCCGCACCGTCCGCGGGTGGCCCTCCTCTCCTCTCCTGCGCGCTGAGCTGAGCCGAGTTGTGCGCCGGCATCTGCGCCCTCTGCCCGCACTCCAATCGGCACTTTACCTCTCCCTTCTCTGCATGAGCGCAACCCCACTTGCGCCGCTCTGCTCGGCATCCTCGTGCTCGCTGCGGCTCCGCTGATCTGGCTCGTGGCCGTGGCGGCGGCAGCGTCTCTTCCTCTGCGCGCGGGCCGCCGCGATAACTTTTCTTCCGCGCGGGGCGCAGGGCCAGCATGATCTTGATCGCTGGCTTATCGAAATCGCGGCACAGCGCCCGCCTCGAGCACGCCTTTCCCACACGGCCGCCGCAGCAGCCCGTCGAGCATCGTGCACGTTCCAGCGTGCTCCTTCTCGGCCTGCCCAGCGCTTCAAGCCTGCCACAGGCGCCGGCGAATAGGGGCAGCGCGGCCTGCCCGGTCCGGGGCACTGGCTGCGCCACGCCGCACTGTGCCGCCGCCGCGGTCCATCCACTGCGCCTGCGCGCTGATGTGTCACCTCCGATGTCACCGCCGGCACGTCGCTCCTCCTCTCTGCTCCGCCCTTGTGCGAGCCAGCCTCAGTAAGAGTCTCTTCCTCCTTGTGCGCAGCCGGGATCGCGGCGCGATGATGCAGCCGCTCCCCGTGCACCCTGCGCCGGCTGCGTCGGTGATGGTTGCCCCGCGCGCCGCACCCTTTCGAGCCCAGCATCAGGCACGCGGCCCGTGTGCCTGCGCCGCGATCTTCTCTGCCTCGCCTCGGCTAGATTCGATTACGCGCGTGTGATGTGCGTGCGACAGCGGAGCGCCGCGCTGATTGGCTGCAGCATGCCACGCACGGCAGCCGATCCGCAGCGCTTCTGCGCACCCTATGCGCTTCCTTTGCGCTTTGTGCGGCATGCTCGGACGCTTGCTCGACTCGAAGCGACGCTCAGCGAAGGGGCGACAGGGCATGCTGAGGTGTGCCACCGCCGCCGCTCGGCACTCTTTCTTCTGATGCTGGCGGCGTTCTGCGCTTGCCTGCTCGGCAGAAACGCCGCAGAGCAAGAAGGGGCAGCACCGCCACGCTCACATCTCGTCCGCCAGCTCGCCTCTGGAAGAAACGCTCGAGCGCCACTCGGAGGATGCACGGCGTCCACGTCACGGCGGCGCAACGAGCGAAGAGAGCGCAGCCGCGGCAGCGTCAGAAGGTCGAACGAAGAGAAAGGGGCAGGCGCGCGCCGGTCCGAGGGCGCTGCCGGACGCCGACGCGCGCCGCGGATCACAGCCCGCGGCGGCACGTCCGAAGCTGCTGGACGCCCCTCTCGCTGCTCTCACGACTCGAGCGAGCGGCACCTGGGCGTGCGTGCGGTGAAGCTGCTCAGATCATGCTTTCCTGATGTCGCGTCAAGGCGTCAACCAGCAGCCAGGCTCAGAGCATGGCCTGGAGCGCTGCGATCGCGGCGCTGCCCCTGCGCGAGATCTTATCGTGATCGCAGCGCGTGTGCCGGGAGGACCGAGCGTGGGAGCAGCGCCTCGCCTCCTCCAGGGAGCATCCCTGCGCCGAGCTCGTCCTTAGTATGGTCCTGCGCAAGCATCGCTTGGCCACCGGTTTGCGCTCGATATTCAGTTCTGGAGTGTGAGCGACAGTGAGACGTCTCAGAAGCACGTGGAGTCCGCGCAGAGCGGCATCTGGGCGCGGTGGACGACATGGGCCGCTGCCGAAAAGGCAGCAATGCAACGGCTATACTCAACTCAAGCTATCTTTGCCAAGTGCCGGCGGGCTGCAAAAGGGCGCATGAGGTTCGCGCTATGCCTGGGCACTGCCAGACAGTCAAGCCGCTAGGTTACATGCATGCACAAGACGTCACAAGGGCGAGGTCTTGCCGCGTTCCTGCCATCCCGCAGAGCCTGCTCATCCGCGAGAGCCCAGCACGCCGCGCAGCCGAACTTCGCTCAACTCTGCTCGCCTCGAGTGAGCAGGAGGCCTGCACAATGGCAATCGAGCAGGCAGAGGCGTGTGCCCGGTGCGTTGGCGCAGCACATAGGGCACAGAGGCTGCGTATACTGACTTCCACGCGGCCGTGCGAGTCGGGGACAGCGGCGACGTGCCCAGCAGGGAAAGACTGCGAGTGCAAGAGCCCATAGACTGCGTTCGAGACGGGGACTGACCCGACACGCACTTGTGCTCGCCCTATCTCACGAGCCACTGATCCGTGTGCTCAAACCAGCCATCCGAATGGCGGACGCGCAGGTGCCGGGACCCTTGCGCAGCGCCCTTCTCTCCATCAGCCCACGCGTCTCAATCTAGAGCCGTCATTTGAGTCAGAACAGAGGCGCTCTGACGGCTGCGACTGTGGCTGGCATGCTGCGCCAGGCTGCTGCACCGCGTAACCCGCATAGCTACGTCGACCGCCGTGGCTTCGTCTCAGCCTGACGCCACGCACAGCCCTCAAGCGCCATCGTTGATCCGCCACTCTGTCAGCGCCTTCGCGCGCGCGCCTAGCCGTCCTTTTCGCGGCATACAACAGCGATCTGGCTCACCGCCGCCATGCTGCAGCATGCGTGCACCGCCCGATCCACGTCCAGACTGTTGCGGGACGACGCACACCTAGCATTGCACGTCCCCACCCCCCCAATCCCGTCTGTATCAGGCGCCTCGACGCCGCACATGTCATCGAGTCGTCTGTGCTTGCTCTTGCTCCTTAAGCACCACCCTCGCCCGTCTCTTGTGCGATCGACGTGTACTCCCACTGATGCGGCGGCGGCGGCACCTCCAGCGGCTCGTGTCTGAGGTGGTGCGGGTCAGCGGACGCGCTCGGCTGTAAGCTTGGGCCGCATCGAGGCGCTTGACCCGCAGCGCCTCACGAGTGGCGGTGTAAAGCCTCCCAGACCGCTCTGCAGGCCGATCCAGACGCCACGGCGCTGACTTGATTCAAAGACCAGTCCGGGAGCCATGGCGCCATGACCACAGCAGAGAGCAAGAGATCTCGCACGCCTGCCTCAGGCGCCACCAGTCATCCAATCGGCCCACTTCCCGCTCTGGCTTGAGCATCCAAGAGAAGGCAAGGGTCGTCTTGCCTTTGCGCAACGAGGTCCTGCTCCCGCCGAACTTGCGCGCCCGCCAGTCACTGGCCGACCCAATGCCTCGGCCCCGCCTTCCACCGAGCCTCCATCTGCCCGCAACACTCACGCCTTCCACTCGGCCATCTTTGCGGCGAGCTTGAGCTCGTCCTGCGCCTGCAGCAGCAGCTCCTCGGCCTGGCCGAGCTGCAGCGTCTGTTCGACGTGCAGGATGGCGGCCTCGCTCTCGGCGCCGCTTGCGCCGTTGACGACGTCGAGGCGCGCCTGCGTCACGGCGCGCGCGGCGCCGGCGTAGACGCTGGCCGCGGGCAGGGCGTCGAGGAGGCGCAGCGTCGACTCGTAGGTCGAGCGCAGCGCCGCCAGCGGCGCCGGGTGCACGGCGAGGCCGGTGATCTCGGTGCTGAGCTTGGTGCGCGCGACGGGCGACGCGGCGGCGGCCGAGGCCGAGGCCTGCGAGGCGGCGCGCAGGGCGAGGGTGCGGAACATGATCGGTGGTGGAGGATGGCGCGGGCAAGAAGGGAGAGCGAGAGCGCGTCCGGGGCGAGGCGGCGCTGCTGCTGACGGACGGCGACGGCGGCGCCGCGCACGTGGCAGAGCGTGGGAGCAGCGCGGCCCTCCCTTGCCTCGCCGCGCCGCGTACCTGTACCGCCCGAGAGCGCCGAGCGGCCGCGCTCGCGGCTGGTAACGCCGCTGGGCCTCAGGTGAGGCCAGTCTGGCGCAGCACGACGAATGCTTGGCTCCCTGCTCTGATCTGTGCTCGACGAGCTGGAAGCGGCCCATGCGCGGCTGCTGCTCACTGCCGGCCATCGCCGGTGCGCGTGTGCGAAGCCGCGATGATGCCGAGGTGCCTCTGCTGCCCTCCTGCACGGCTGCTGCTGATGCGGCGAGCGAGGCGGCGGCACGCGCGAAGGACACAGGCGATGTGCCCGGCTTCCGCCTCCTCGGCGCGGCGCGCGCGGGGCGCGGTGAGCGCGCGGCGGCGAGGCAAGCCAACTCGAGCCGGCGCTTCTGCTCCTCGGGCTGCTCGCCTCGCCCCCGCTGCTCTTGCCGTCGCACCCCATCCCCTGCTCCCGGCTCGCCGCCATGGCCGCCTACCGCTCCTCGGTCTCCGCCATGCCTGCCGCCGTCAGCAGCTCCGCCACGCAGGTCGCCACGCCCGGCGCCGGCAGCAGCAGCGGCGCCGGCAGCGCCGCCTACAGCAGCGCACCCTACTACTCCCACCCGCACGCCGCCCACCCTCACTCGCTGCCACACCCACACGCCCAGCAGCACGCCCAGGCGCAGGCTCATCAAGCGCAACAGCAGGCACACGCGCACGCCCAGGCGCAAGCTCAGGCGCAGCACGCCCAGCAGCAGCAGCAACAGCAGCAGCAGCGGCAGCACGAAGCCCAGCGCTACTCCTCCGCCCAGCCGCCGCCGGGGCCCTACGGCGCCAGCTACGGCTACCACTCGGCACCGCCTCCTCCGCCTCCGCCGCCTCCGCCGCAGTCGGCGCACCAGCAGCACCCGCCGCAGCACTACTACTACCCCGGCGCCGGCGCCTATCCGGGCACCAGCAACGGCGCCAGCGGCAGCGGCAGCGGCGGCGCTGGTGGGCGCTATGAAGCACACGCCTCGCCAGCGCCGCCGCCGGCACAGCTGCCGCCGCATCCTCAAATGCATGCGCAGCACATGCCCCAGCCGCCCACACACGGGCAGGGCCATGCGCCGCCACGAGGAGCACCTGGCCGAGGAGAGTATGGCGCAGGCCATGCCGGAGCACTTCCAGCGCCGCCATCGGCCGCAGTCTCGGTCGCGCCGGCCAAGAAGGCAGCACGCGCTCCGAAGCGGCCGAAGACGAACGCATCGGCCGCGGCTGTCGCGGCAGGGCCACCTGGCGTCCAGTCTTTCGGCGGCAAGGTCTCATCGGCCGGCATGCCGCATCCGCAGTCGCACGCCGGGCAGGTGCACATGCAGCACCAGCAGCATGCGCAGCTGCAGCACCACCATCAGCAACAGCAGCAGGCGCAACAGCAAGCACAAGCGCAGCACCACCAGCAGCAGCAGCTCTTGCAGCAGCAGGCTCAGGCGCAGCAGCAGCAGGCCCAGGCGCACGCCCACGCCTCGGAGCTGGCGCGCGAGCGCGAGATCCGCGAGCAGGAGGCGCGCGAGGCGCGCGAAGCCCGTGAGATGCGCGAGCGAGAGCGCGAGGGCGAGAGCAAGAAGGACAAGAAGCGCCGCGAGGTCGTCGAGCGCGTGCACCGCTCGCACTGGGAGACGCTGGAGAACCGCGATCTGTGAGTGTGGACCGGCTTGCGTCTGGTGCGGGGTCGCTGCAGCTGCTGACTTCCTTCTGCCACCACAGCATATTTGCCGAGCTCTCCACCTCGCTCGCCACGCGGGCATCCACGCTGCTCCTCTCGCCCTCGCTGCTGCGCACCTACGTGCTGCCCGCCCACTCGCTGCTGCTGAGCCGCGACGCAGCGCTGCAGCGCAGTGCTCTGCTGCACGCGCACCAGGTCGAGAGTGCCCGTGCGGCTCACGACGCTGAGTGCTCGCGCGCCGAGGAGGAGGCGCGCAGCGCGCGCCGCAACGTGCGCGAGCGGCTGCTTGCGGCGACGGAGGAGCGCAGACGGCGCCTGAGGGAAGAGAAGGAGGGCGAGCTTGGAGGTGGTGAGTTGCTTCGTTTTGGTGGGCTCTGGCAGGGCGAGCAGGTGTGCTGGAGCAGCAGAGCTGCCCGAGCCACGCTGCATGCGCGTGCGTCAGGCGCCGGGCTTAGTGATGGTGGTGTGCCGCCTCTGCTGAGGCTGCATGCACGGGACGGGTGCGCATTGGTCCGGCTGGCTATGGCGCTGACACTCCTGCCCGGCACAGACCTCTTCCTCGACTCTGCCGCACGCCCGCACGCAACGCGCAAGCTGCGAGCCAAGCCCGGAGGCGGCCCCGGCGCGAACGGCACAGGCGGCACCGGACGGCGTGGCGGCGATGCAGGCGCCGGCGAAGAGGCGAGCGGTCGCGGTGGCAGCGGCGCAAATGCTGCCGGCGCCGGCGTGCCCGGCGACATCGCTGCTGGGCTCGGTCTGCTGCTCTCGGACGTCGGTCTGGCCGGTGAGCTCGCTGGAGTCAATGCGCTGGGCGGGCTCGGCAGCCTCTTCGCGGGCCTGCCGGCGTCCAGCGTGCTCGATCCGGCAGCAAGCCTGGCTGGCGGCGGCGGCGGTATGGCGGACAGCTCTTACATGTCAGGCATGCGCGCTGCGCTGCTTGGCGCGGCGGCGAAGAGCAGCGCCAAGGGCAAGAAGAAGGCTGGCGGAGCTGCAGCTGCAGCGGCCGCGGCGGCACTCGCTGCGGTCGGCGACACCGAGGACGACGAGGACCGGGGCGGCCGTGCTGCCGCGGCTGCAGCAGCTGCGGCGGCTGCGGCAGTGAGCAACGGCCGGCTGCGCTGGGACGCCGGCAAGAGCGTCGCGCAGCTCACGGCCGCTCGCGACTGGGAGATCGAGAGCGACATGATCTCGATTCGCAAGGTCGCAGGCGGCAAGCGGCGGCGAAAGTAGACAGTCAAGCAGTCCGATGCCCTCGCACCTTCTTCTCTCGCATCACCTCGGACACCTCACGCTCCACCTCCACCACCCGTTGGCTGCTTCCGTCCTACTGCCGGTCTGCTCCTATCTGCCCGCTGCTCGCCTTATTCGCTTGCACGCATGTAATCGCTCCTTTCCGCTGCTCATGGCCCCTTCTCTCACGCATCACCCAAGTGCAACCTATCTCGGCATCCTACTGCGGTGTGACACGTCTCATTGCTTCCTGCATCCCTCTTGCCCCTCACTTCTTGCCGCTGCCCACCTCCTCGATCGTGCGCAGGAAGGCCTGCGGGTCGTGTGCGAAGCGGCCGAGGAAGAGGCCGTCGACGCCCTCCTCGAGCTTCTGGAAGAGGCCTGGCCCGGCCGAGCCGCCGTAGAGGATGCGCACGAGGCCGGGACGCTTGAGGTCGGCGGCCTTTTGCCGCAGCGCCTGCGTCACGGCCACGACGTGCTCAGCGCCGGCGGGCTCGGCGGCGCCAATGGCCCAGACGGGCTCGTAGGCCAGCACGACCTCCGCGTCGGGCGCAATGTCGCGGAAGACGGCCTCGACCTGGGCCCAGCACTCGTCGACGGCGACCTGCGTGCCGCCGCCCTTGGTCTGCTCGCCGAGGCAGATGAGCGGCACCATGCCGTTGCGTGCGGCGCCGAGCGCCTTCTGCGCCACCCATGCGTCCGTCTCGCCGAAGAGGCGGCGGCGCTCGGCGTGGCCCATCTCGACGAAGCGCACGCCGGCCTGCGCCAGCACCTTGGGCGACACCTCGCCCGTGAAGGCGCCGGCGTCCTCGTGGTGCGAATCCTGCGCGCCGAGGAAGAGCGGCGCGCCGGCGCTCTTGATGGCGTCGCGGTAGGAGAGCAGCGAGACGAAGTCGGGAATGACAAAGACGTCGACCTCGCGCTGGAGCGACTCAAGCAGCGAGGGCAGGTGCGGCAGCACGGCCTGCAGGTAGGCGTCCGTCTTCTGCAGGTCGAAGTACATCTTGTACGACACGCCGACGAGGCGGCGGCGGGCGGGTGCGGCAGACATGGTGGGTTGGGTGTTGGTGGTGTGGTGGGAAGAAGGAGTGAGCACGGGCCGCCACCCAGCGTGCCGAGCATCGCGAGAACGTCCAAACGGCATCAAGGAGGCGAGCCGCGCCAGCAGCAGCGCAAGACACCGCCGCCGGCCTGCCTCCACACCACACGGCGTCTAAGAATAGCACGCGTCACGTGCGCACTCAATCGCCCATCAGGCTCGCTCCCCACAGCGGCCACCCCTCACTCTCGACTCCCCTCACCGACTCAGCCGCACGAGCAGAAGAACAGATGATGACATTCGCAGCACAGTCCATCCTCCCCTACAGCAGCGCCCGCATGCAGTCCCACGCCGTGAGGAAGACCGAGAGCAGGCTGCCGACGTAGATGCGCCCGGCGTCGATCTGCAGCGACGGCCCCGCAGACATGCCCGTCGCCGGCTCGAGCGTGGCGCACAGCAGCGCCGCCGGCCAGCCGCCGTGGTCGGCGGGGTCAAAGGCATAGCCGATCATGACCTCGTCGTGCGCACAGGCGCCCGCCGTGCCCGCGCTCTTGAACGTGCCGTGCTCCTCGGGCAGCGCGTCCCACCGGTCAAACGTCACGGTGCGCTGCTTGCCGCGCACACGCTCCTCGGCGTCGGTGACGCACACGAGGCCCGCACTGCGCCCGTCGCCGTCGTACGAGTAGCCGATGGCGTACGCCTCGAGCTTGCACTGCCGCTTGCGGTAGCCCTTGGCCCAGTCGCGCATCACGTTGCGCTCGTCGGCCACCACGTCCCACTGCCCGTCGCGCCAGGCGTTGCGGCCGAAGGTGGCATCGGTGCAGAGGCCGTTCGGCCGCGCCTCGTGCGAGAGGCCGACGAGGCGCCAGCCGTCGGGGCACGACGCCTTCGTCTCGCCGGGCGACCAGCGCAGGTCCGGTGCCAGCGTGCTGCTCTGCTGGATGCTGCCGTGCGCAGTGCTCAGCATCAGCCAGCTCTCCACCTGCGGCACGGCCTGTCGCGCCGAATCCGAGCTCGAGGCGGCGATCAGGCGTTGCCACGCCGGCAGGCGCCAGTCCCGTTTCTTCTCGTCGTCGATGGCGAGCAGCGAGCCGTCGGCATCCCACGCGAGCAGCGCCCAGCCGTCGCCCGTGCCGTTCTTCTGCCAGCCGACGAGCGGCCAGTAGGCAAAGTCGAGCTCCTGCGCGACGAGGATGTTCACAAAGTGCTCCCACCAGTCGCGGTCCTTGGTCGAGTTGTCGAGGCGGCCCACGCCGAACTCGCTGATCCACACCGGCGCCGTGTAGTGCATCTGCGGGCTCGACAGGTCCGTCGCGACGTACGCCGCGAGGCGGTCAATCGTCGCGTTGAGCTGCGCCGGCGTCAAGTCTGCGTAGCTCGGGTCGCGGACCCCAGACGGCGCATCAGCGCCGGTCGCGTTCGGCCCGGTGTAGGCGTAGAAGTGGGACGAGTACACGAGCTTGTCGGGGATGGCGAGAGCGTGGCTCAGCTGCGCCACGGGCGCCAGCTCTGGCCGGTAGTGCTCGGTGTACGGCGTCGGGATGCCGACAAAGTTGATGCCGCCCACGACGATGAGCATGTCACGGCTCGCTTCGCGCTGGATGCGGTTCGCAGCGCGGAGCGAGGCTGCCCACCAATCGGTGTCGCCTCCACCGCCCCAAGTCGGGTCCTGCAGCAAGTCTCGCCGCACCTCGTTGTACAGCTCGGCTCCCACGACGCGAGGATTGGGCGCAAAGTGGCGCACGATGCGCACCCAGTCGCTCTGCCACTGCGCCTCGCTCTGGCCCGTGTTCCAGCGTGCGTTGGAGTCGAGGCCACAGCACCAGATGCTCTTCGCCGTGTGGTTGTTGAGGATGACGGCCAGGCCGCGACTCGTCAAGGCCGCGACGCAGGCCTCGAACACCTGGAAGGGCGTCATGCCGCGCAGCTGCGGATTGGCAAGCAGCGCATCGTCCGGGACAAGGCTAGTCGCATGCAGCATCTCGTTTGAGAATGGCAAGCGGATGGTGTTCAGCCCCAGCGCGACGAAGTCATCCGCGATGTCGTCGATGTGCGCGCGATCGAGGCCGAGCGGCGTCTGGAACGCCACCTCCTTCGCATGGTGGTTCGCAGGATCGGTAATCTTGCCGCTGTCCAGATACGTGCCCGAGGCGCCGTGCCAGTTGCCCGCCCGGAGCGGGAAGCGCTTGCCGCTGGCATCCACGACGAAGCGACCGCGCGTGCTCAGCGGCGGATCCCACGACGCGAGCAGCTGCTGCGTCGCATTCAGGCGCAGGGCCTGATGCTGCTCGTGCGGATGCCCAAACGTCCGCTGTGCCGAGATCGGGAGCACTGCCGCCTGGCAGGCTGCGACCAAGAGCAGCACGGCCGCTGCGAGCCAGCCGTGCGCGAACATGATGCGGCCGGGCGACCTGGCGTGCGACTCGCGTGTGTGCGGCTCAGGGTGTCCGCGCGGGCTGTGACGGGCCCAAGCGCGATGCCGCCCTGCACCAAGGCTTGAGGGGATTGCTGGATGTCGTGGTTGAGGACAGGAATCTACGAGTCGGCCGACGGCTGCGGCCAGCGCGAGCAAGACCGTCACGCGAGACCGGCGGCCGGGGCCCCGGCGGTCGCCGCGCCGCCTGCCCCGCAGGAGACCAGCCCGACTCAGATTCGGCCGCCGCTGTGCTTATGCACGTTCTGCAGCACGTTCGGCGCTACAGGGTCGTGCGCCACGTGCGCCTCGGCAGCACGCAAGCGCAGCCACTCGCTCGAATTCGGCAGGAGCTTCAAAGAGCGCCCGGCACCGGCATCGAGGTCGTCTTCAGCGCCACTCTACGGGCCCCACCCGCGCAACCTAACGGCACAGCAGCATCTATTTTCATGACTGTGCAATCCGCAAGGCAAGGTGAAACGCCGCTGAGACCCAATGTGCGTAGAGACGGGAAGGACAAGGCATCCGATGCGTGAGAGGGAGACTAGAAGGAGCAGTATAGGGAGCAGGGGTTCGGAGGCGCTCTAGTAGCGGGACAGCAGCGGCCGTGCGTCGAGCGTGTCCTTCTCGCTGAGCATCGAGCCCTCCGGGTTGTAGAAGCGACGCATGCCGCGGCCGTCGCTGGAGATGCGGCCAATCTCGACGGACTGGCGGACGCGCTCGATGCTGCGGCGCGACGCGTCGAGCGAGAGACGCGTCTCTGCCTCGGCCACAAAGGGCGTGGCGAGGACGATCGTCTTGCTCTTGGCGCTGACGGTGTAGGTCAGGCGGTTGGTGTGCAGGTGGCAGAGCTGCGCATACAGCATCGGCGCCACGCCGTACGCCAGACCGGCGGGAATGGCGAGGTAGTCGATCAGCGCCCGGGGCCACTTGCGCGTGCACGTCTGCGCCGTCCGCACGCCGAGGTAGCGTGCCGGCGCGCGGCCGACGCTGCCAGCCTCGCGCCACGAGCGAGCCACCGCCTCGGACTCCGTCCAGCGTGTCACGGCGGCAGCCTTGTGGTAGTAGTCGTGCAGGCAGCACATGATGATCGTCGCGGCAATGCCGATGCCTCCAAGCGCACGGGCGAGCTGTTGAGATAGAATGCTGTCAGCGATCGGACTGCCATGGTGGCCGAGAGCACGCTACGCACCTGCACGGCACAGATGACGATGTCGGGCATCATCCACGCCGGCGTCATGCCGGGCGCAGTGTCGCGCGGCAGCACAGCGCCGGCGGAGAAGGGCGACTCGAAGATGGCCTGGACGCACTTCTCCCACGTGCAGGGGCGGTTGAAGGGGTCGGTGAAGGCCATGCGGCCGCTGCGGTACACGACCGACGGGTAGATCGTGAGGATGGCGGTGAGGACGAACATCGAGGCGATCATGATGTGCGCCTCGAAGAGCCGGAAGAAGAGCGAGATGAACGGCATGATGCGCGCACGGGCGGGCATCTCGCACGCCAGGTCGGCCTCCATGACGTTGTGCAGCATGCGGCCGGGGCGCGAGGCGAGCGAGAGGCCGCGCGCGTGCGTGTGCTTGATGCAGATGTCCTCGCCCGAGCTGTCCGACTCCTGGCCGTCGTCGTCGCCGTGCGCCTTCTTGGCGGCGCGCGGCAGCATGACCGTGTCGAAGTCCGTGAGCGTCGTGTCGGTCGTGGCAGTGTTCGAGGGCGACGGGTAGCGGTGCGGGTCCTCGAGGTGCACGCCCGTGGGCAGCAGGTACGTCGTCTTGAGGCCCTCCTCCTCGTCACGCGGCGCGGGCATGTCCATGTCGTCATCGTCGTCCTCGGTGTTGAGCGCGACGTAGCCAGTCTTGCGCTGGCCCGGGCCGAACTGGCCGGTCAGGACGCGGTGCCACGAGTAGCCAAAGTCGAGCGAGCCCCAGAGGTGGCGCACGGCCTGGCTCCAGCGGGCCTGCAGGTCGTGAACGTACGCCATGACGGGGCCAGTGGCCGGCGCGCCGACAACGTGCAGCTGCGAGGCGGGACTGTAGATCGTCTGCGCAATGACGGTGCCCTTGGTGTCGAAGACAGCCTTGACGCTGAAGTGCAGGTCCTCGCCGATGGCCTCCGGCCCGCCCTCCCAGAAGTCGCAGAACTTGACGAGCTCCATGGACACGGCGTACGCCGACGTGGGCGCCTTGAAGCCCGAGCTCGGGTAGATCTGGCCAATGCCGGCGCAGCTCCAGAAGACGTCCGTCACGCGGATGAAGATGGGCACATCCGGTCCGTTGCGGTCGAAGAGCGTGGGAGGAACGCTAGGCCGGAATGAGCGCATGGACTTTGTCAAAAGCAGGCGGGCGGGACTCACTAGTACGTGCGCCGGCGGCGGTCGGCGGGAGCGAGGGCAAAGTAGGCGGAGATCGAGAGGAAGAAGCTGGGCGAGATGTGAGCTGGTGCGCACACGCACGGCTGCCGGCGCGACTCACTCGGCGGCGAAGGCCGTGTCGGCGTCCATGACGGTGACGACGGTGCGGCTGTGGTCGACGGGCGCCCGGCGGGCCATGTGCCGTGCGGCCCAGTTGACGTTGGAGCTGGAGGGGCATGAGCGTCAGGCTCGCTTCACTGTCGTGGGAGCAGCAGGGCAGGGTTCAAGCCTAGCGCGGCCCCGGGTGGAGCGGGCCCGCGGCGCTCAGACGCGCGTCCGCCGCGCGCGACGCTGGCGCTGCACCCGCGGGGCTGACGCGCCCCGCGGCTCAGGCGTGCCGAAAGCAGCACCGCGCCTCACCGCCTCGGCTCGCGCCTTCCGGCTGCCTATGGGCCCGCCCACAGCACAGGCCGCCGTGCTATCTCCGCTGCTGGCACCCTCACACCTGCTTCCGCACCACATCCACCGCCCAAGCACTCACGACTTGCCCGCGCTCTCGCCCAAAATCGATCCCGGGTGCAGCGAGAAGGCGCTGCTGGCAAAGGCACCGCGCGCGCGGTACGGCGCCAGCACGCTGCTCGCCTTGGCCGGCGCGCCCGCCTCGCGCTCCTCCATGCCGAGGCAGACGTGGTAGCTCGTCGGCGCCAGCGGGTGCGATGCGAGCACATCGAGCGTCTGCGGCGGGCGCGGCGTGAGCGGGGAGGCGCGATAGCAGGGCAGCACCGGCGCGTGCTCACCTCGCGCAGCGTCGCCAGGTCCTCCTTGTATGCCGGCACAATGATGATGTGCTGCACGTCGTCAATGTCAAGCACATGGTCTGCGCCGCCGTGGCGCGCCAGCTTGCGCCGCTCGTCGGCGTGGTACTCGCGCCAGTCGCGGCGAGAGTGCGCCAGCGTGCCGCGCCAGCACGCCCAGACGCCGTACGCCGAGCGCGTCTGGCAGGCGACAAAGACGATGTGCACGGCGACGACGACAAAGGCGACGAGCTGCGGCGCAAAGACGGGGCCCAGCATGCCGAGCAGCATCACGCAGAAGTGCGCCGAGAAGGGTACGCGCTGCAGGATCCACGCGAGCGCGAGGGAGAGGAAGCCCGCGGCATTCTGCAGCCAGGACATGCGCGGCCGGCGCTCGAAGGAGAGAGCCATGGCGTCGAAGGGGCCCGCAGTGAGCTGTGCGGGAGGGTGGAGGATGGACGGCGAGAAGATGGGCTGGAGGTGTCAGGGGAAGGGAAGATCGCGTGGACAGTCGCGAGCCAAGACGAGCGGCATTGGGCAATCTCGATCAAGCAGGCGCCGACCGGTGACCAGCAGCAGCATGGTCAGCCGCCGCAGACTCTGGGGCGCACGCCTCGCCAGGTATGGCCCAGCCATGCAGCGATGCAGACGGCGGCGCGGCGTGCTCCGGCGATGCCCGCAGCCGCAGCCTGGATGCTGGGCGGCGGCGGCTGCACCGCGCACCACATACGCCAGGCAGCTCGCCCTGCCGGAGCCACGGCGCGATCCAGCGGCCGTATTCCTGTGCCTCCTGGCTCCGCGAGCGGACGGTCCATTCAAATAAAGGGCTCCGAAGGGCCTGGCGCTCCGCCGGCGCGCTGCGGCTGCGGGGATGGGAGGCGCCGCGTCGTGCGTTGTTGCCCGGCACGGAACAGCGCGGCGCTGGGTGAGCGCACGGCACCCGCACGGCGCAGGTGCAGTGGCGCATGTCGGAGCCTTGGCTGTGCACGCGCAGGCGGACGCACTGGCGCCCGGGGGAACGTGGCTGCAGCCTCAGCACCAGGCTGCACACCGTGGCCTCCGCTGCTGCTGCATCTGAGCGGCTGCCGCTGCAGCTGGCTGTGCCGGCGGCGCATAGGACGTGCCTCTGGCGGAGTCAGGGTCGGCAGCACCGGTGCGGTGCGGGCGCGCAGGCAGAGAAGCCAGATGCGCGCAGGCGCGGGGGCCGCCGAGATGCCGATGCTCTGTGCCGCTCGTCGCCGCTGTGTCTTCCTTGCAGCGTTCGGCATCCCCTCTTGTGCTGGGTGCCGCGGGCTGCCTCCTTTGTCCCAAGGCTCGACGCTGCGTTTGTAATGCTGCGATGCTGGAGCGGCTGCGGCTGGGCCTCGGAAAGCAAGCTCGCCGTCGAAGCCACGACGCGCGCCGGACGGCCGTGCACCATGCAAGCAGCTCACGGCACGCCCGGCGAGGCCTCGCTGTGGTACACGGCACGGCGGCACGGCGCGGCACGCGGCCAGCTCGAATTAGCAGCCGGCCTAGCGCATCTCGCACGCCCAAACATACCCCGTGCCCTCCTTTCACAGCGTGCCAGGCCAGACGCAAACATCGAAGCACACTTGCCTCTGCGTGCCAGAGCGGCAGCTGTTGGCGGGCTGGATGTTCGAGATTGCCGGAGCACGTCGCGTCGAGGAGCGCGCAGCAGAGTGCAGCGTTCGCGGCGGCAGGCTCGCAGCGGCGCCAGGAGAGATGCTGCCTGGCGGGCGCGCGCTTCGGGAGCCCACGTTCGCAGCGTCGTGGACCCGCTGCTGGCCCCGACGGTGCGGGGACGCTCGCGTCCAAGGCGTGCTCGACCGGCAGCCGCAGGCACAGCACCTCTCCAGCACGAGATGCCGCCGGGACCGAGCCACGCAACGCAGCGCGGAGAAACGTGGGCGTCGTCGAGCTGGCCGACGAATGCTCTGCTGCTGCGCTCTCGGGCGCTGCAGCACCTGCGGCAGCTCGCTGCTTCAGCATGCGCTCTCTGAGCGGCTGAGTCTCATCTCACGCAGCTGCGGCTCGTTCGGCAGGCATGCTTCGACGCGGACGAGCGAGCGCCACAGAGCGCAGCGCTGCGTCCGTCGGCCAGCGAGTATTAAAAGCCAGCCGGCGTGCACGCGGCTCTCCGACGTCCGCCCGCCTCAGCCAGCCATTCGCTCGTCCAGACCTGCACGGGCGGCAATGCCAGCCTCTGCTCTTGCTGCGTGAGGATTCCGACGAGTCGTCGCTCGAGCAATGGCGTGCTCGCCGTGCAGCCACGCTGCCGAGAGAGGCGGCGCGGGCATTCGAGAGGGGGGAGTGCGGGGGAGAGGCACGCGAGCCGCCGGCGGAACGCGGCTGCAGCACACAGCCAGCAGGCGCGCAGCGGCGCCGCCCGCGCCGTCGTGCCGCGCCGCGGCAACGCCACGTGGGCGGCAGCGTGCCGTGGCAGGCCGCACCGCTGCAGCGGCGTCGAGGAGCGCCAGGCTCCCAGCCTGCATCTCCTCAAGGCCCCGACCTGCGAGCCGACAGCTCAGCCCAGGCATGAGCGATGGCGGCTCCGGCGACCTCGACGTCCTGCCGCAGCCGCCGCACGGCCTCGTGCCGCTGGCCGCCGGCTCGGCGCGGCTGGTGACGGACGCCGACGAAGAGGTAGGTGCGGCAGCAGGAGGCGTGTCGCACGAGCTCGTCCTCATGCATCGCGATAACAGACCTTTCTGCTGTACACCTTGTCTCCTCCGCCGCAAGACCAGCGCGGCCTGGGCTACGTCAATGGCACGGCAGACCTGCTGCGCATCAGCGTGCCGCTGCAAGGCGATGGTTCAGCCGACGTGAAGGTCGAGGCGCTGGCCGCGGATGAGGCCTCTGATGCTCTTTCGAAGTCGACAAAGCAAAGCGGCGCAGCCAAGCGCTCAGCGAAGACCAGCAAGAAGAGCGCGCCGTCCGCCGAAGACAACAATGTCGTGGTCGAGGTGCGGCAAGATGTGAGCTCGAGTGCTGCCAGCCGTCGCAGCTACGAGGCTGATGTGACTGAGACTAGGTGACCTCGCTGCGATCGACGACCGGCGACACCGGCAGCGTTGTCTGGCGCTCAAGGTGCGCTACGGTCGGGGGGCATTCGGCGTCACTCGCTGACACGCTCATGCTGCAGTCTGCTGCTCGCCTCGCTGATTCTGCGACGCCTCTCGGCACCTACGCTGCTCCCGGGCACCGTCTCATGCGACGACGACATCGGCACGCTCTTCGAGCCTGAGCTGCTCGCTCGCGCACGGGTCCTCGAGCTCGGCGCCGGCACCGGTGTGCTCCCGATGCTGCTCTTCGCGCACCCTGCGCTGCGAGCTCCAGACGCCACAACGACGTGGCTCGCAACCGATCAAGAGGCCATGCTAGGGCTGCTACGGCGCAACGTCGCTCGACAGCAGAGTGCGCTCGGCGGGGAGTCGTCTGCAGGTGGACGATTGGACGCTCTGCCTCTGGACTGGAACGAGGCGCTTGAGGTCCAGCAGAGCGGCAGCGAGGCGCGCCAGGACAGGCTGCGCCGTGCAGTCTTTGCGTCGTTCGAGCAACGACCGAGCTGTGCAGATGCGAGTGCAGATGCAGACGAGCCGGCGTGGCCCGACCTCATCCTCGCCTCCGACTGTGAGTCGCCGCAGCGCAACCTCTTCAGTGCTACTGGTCTGACCGCTCTTTTTTCAGGCATCTACAACCCCTCGCTCTTCCCTGCGCTGCTGGCAACCATCGACGTGCTCTCGGCGCCGCAGCGCACCCTTGTGCTCGTCATCTGCGAGCTGCGCTCGGCGGAGAGCGTGCGCGAGTTCCTGGCGCAGTGGCTTGCGCATGGCGTCGAGGAACGCTCGCAGCCGAGCCGCTGGTGCATCTGCAGCATCGAGCAGGAGGTGCTGGGCGCGCGCCTTGCTAAGGGCAACGCCGCATGGCTGGCGTGGAAGCGATGAAGCTGCCGCTCGAAGCTGCAATAGAGCTGTGTCTGCATGAGAGCGCCAGAGGTTGGACGGGTGAGGGGCATCACGATAGACCTGGGAGCGGCGCGCGGGGGCGTGACGCGCGAAGCTTGACGCCGCCCCAGCCGCCTGCGAGCGGGGCTCCGCGCTTGCCGCCCACGCTGGCGCGGAAGCGTGCCAGAGACTTAGAAGCAGCTGCAGATCTCTGTTCGACAGCGAAGGAGCTGCGGCGAGATGGGCGCTGCAAAGGGTCTGCGAGTCGGTGGCAGTCTCGCCGGCGGCGGCGTGACTTTGCGCACCGCGCGCGGCGCCGCAACGTCGGTTCGACACGCCTGCGGACCCTTCGCTGCGGCGCTCCCAGCAGCAGCTGCCCTCGACTCCTGCTGGGGCTGATCTCGGCGCCATCTCGCTCTGGCGCCGTGCCTGACGCACCCCAGCGCAGATGCTTCGCCGGCCGAGCCGGCAAGATGCACTCCCTGTCGACGTTGCCCTCGAGCCTGCTTCGGAGCTCTGGTCGTGAGCGAGAAGCAGCATGCGTTCTGCGCTTCGTGCCATGCAAGCTCACGGCGCCTTGTGCTTGACAGCGGCCCTGCCCAGGGCGCGTTGGTGGCTGTCGGGCGATCTGCACGCGGAGACTGGTGCAGTGCCCGAATTCGCTGGCGCGCTGCGTGGACAGCGTCAGCGGCGCGTGACCCTCGCCGTCGCCGCCGCCGGCCTGCCTGCTGGCCGTGCGTCTCAGTCTGGGGCGTGCCTGATGCGCGCACCGCTGGCTTCGCCGTCGTTGCTTCCCCTCTCCCACCCTCGCTGCTCGCCGCACTCGCATCAGCACATAGAGACGCAGCATCACTGCCGCGTGCATCACCCTCCTTCCCTCACACCCTCTCTCCCACTCCTGCTCGTCGCTGAGCAGTCCTCCTTCCCGGCGCCGCCCGAGCCTCCTCGCGCCCGCCATGTCGGCGCCGCACGCGACCGACTACGCGCAGCCCGACGGGCGCCGCACGCCCACGGCGCGCGACGGTGCGCTCGACGACGACGCCCACTCCAGCGGCGGCTCGACGGGCGAGAACCTGCGCATCAGCATCCCCGGCGGCGGCAACCACGCCGACCGCACGAAGGAGAAGCACCCGCAGAAGAAGAAGCGCGAGCGTGAGTGGCCCGAGCCAAGTACACCGGCGAGTGTGGTGGCCGTCGTCGCGGTCATCGTAGCTGTGGCTCGTGCTGCGTCGCAGCTGGCTCTGCACCGGCGGCAGCGTCAGGCAGCTTGCTTCTGGCAGCGCCAGATCTTTCCTGGTGCTCTCCGTGTTCTTGTCGCTTTCTGGCCGTCCGGGGCTGCCTTGGCGCTCAAGCTTGCGCACCTCTTGCTCTCTGTCTGCACCGCTGCGGCTGTCTGCCGCCGCACATCCCGCTGCTCGCCGAGCCTGCACAGCTGGCGAGCACCGGTGTTGTGCACCGACGGGGCTCCGCATTCGAATCGTGGGGTAGCCCTAGCATGCACAGAAGCACGGCTGCCCCTCGCCAGCACCCAAAGTGCTCCACTTATAGCGTCAGGGGCCTGTGCTCGGACCAGGCCGATTTGAATGCTCTTGCTCGTCTTTCTCGCCGCTGCTTCTTCCTGAGAGGAGCATCTGTGCGACCGACGAGCTCAAACTCGATGGCCGATGGAGCGCTGCCTGGCGCAGCTGCAGCTCGCTGCATGCTGCGTCCGAGCTGTCTCCGGCGCGAGTTCGCAGGCGCCGTGCCTTGACGGGCGCGAAGCTTGCCTGGCTCGGCGCTCAGGCCGTGCAGCGCCGTGCATCTCTGTCTGCTGGGGCGCGCAGGGTGCGGCACGCGGCCAGTCTGCCGCGGTGCGGAGCTGGCGGCCGTGCATGCGGGCGCGCGTAGGCGGCGCGCGCGCCTGCGAACGATAGCATCGTTCGCCGCGCTCGGCGTGCGGCGCTCCTCGGCTGCCGTGCACGGCGGCCATGCTGCAGGCACGAGCATCGCAGGGCCCAGGAAGGATCTCGCGCACGGTCGATCCTTGACGTCGTCTGGCCGTCGTCTTCCGTTCCCTCGTCCAGCACACACCCAGAACGCACACTCACTGTCGTCGCATCGCAGAGTCTGAGGCGACTGTGCAGGCATCCAACGACTCGAACGAGTCGACGCCCGAGCAGGCAACGCGCCCGCGCTCCAACTCGCGCCCGTCCTTCCACTCGCGCGACTCGGTCTGGGAGCACAAGCCGGACTATCACCCGAGCCACAAGAGCCCGTACGCCGTGGGTGCCGGTGCTGCGTGCGGCTAGGCAGCGCGCTGACGCCCTGTGCAGAACCCGAACCACTACTCGTCGCGCCCACAGACGTACCACCAAAAGTCGTACTCGCACATGTCGACGCCGCCAACGCCCACGTCGGGCGCCACGCGGCACGGCCAGTTTGCGAGCGGCGAGAGCGAGGAGATGGGCCACGGGCGCGGGCCGACGAGCGCCATTGAGCGCGGCATCGAGGCGTCGGCCACGGACCGCTCGTGGCAGACGCAGGAGGAGATCCGCCTGGACGAGGATGCGCGCAAGGAGCGCCACTGGCGTCGCTGGGGCTGCTACCTCGCTGAGCGTCAATGGGTGAGTCGGGTGGCGTGTCCACTGCACTGCAGGCCTGACATGCTCTCACAGGGCACTGTGCGTGAGGACTACTCGGGCAACGGCGATGCCTGGACGCACTTCCCGCACGAGTCGGCGCGCAGCCGCACGTTCCGCTGGGGCGAGGACGGCATTGCCGGCCTGTGCGACAACCACGGCCGCCTCGGCTTCTCGCTCGCGTTCTGGAACGGCAAGGACCGCATGCTCAAGGAGCGCCTCTTTGGCCTGGCGAACAACGAGGGTGCGTGTGGGCGTGTTGAGAGGAGGTGTGACGCACTGCTGACGCCGTGGCACCAGGCAACCACGGCGAGGACGTCAAGGAGCTCTACTGGTACCTCGACAACACGCCCACGCACAGCTACATGAAGATGCTCTACAAGTATCCGCAGTCGGCGTACCCGTACGAGCAGCTCGTGCGCGAGGCGCGCAACCGCGGCCGCGACGTCGCCGAGTTCGAGATCACCGACATGGACATCTTCGACGACGACCGGTACTGGGACATCTACGTCGAGGTGAGTGCGCTGCGAGCAAAGGTGGACGGCGGGCGCGTGCTGACGCTCGTCGCCCCGCGCAGTACGCCAAGGACGCCGACGACGAGGAGGCCATCTCCGTGCGCATCAGCGCCTACAACCGCGGCCCCGAGGCGGCCGACCTGCACATCATCCCGCAGATCTTCTTCAAGAACTACTGGTCGTGGCCCAAGGAGGAGCCTGAGAAGCCGCAGTTCAAGCAGATGGACGACCTGACCATCCGCGCGACGCACAAGGACCTCGACACGATGAACCTGTACTGCTCGACGAGCCCGGCGCCGTCGGCGCCGCCGCGCAAGCGCGGTGCCGCGCCGGAGCTCATCTCCGACGAGGAGATCGCGCCCGAGCTGCTCTTCACCGAGAACGAGACGAACCTCGAGCGTCTCTACGGCGGCCGCAACAAGACGTACGCCAAGGACGCCTTCCACGACCACATCGTGCCGCAGCACCGCCTCGAGAAGGACCAGCCGAAGGACGTGCGCAAGACGCGCACGGTGAAGCGCACCGTCAAGCGCATGGTCAAGGCGGCCAAGGCGGCCGGCAAGCAGGCCGCAGGCGCTGCCGAGGCAGCCAAGGAGAAGGCGCTCAACGGCAGCAACGGCGCCAACGGCCACAGCGCCGAGGATGACGACGAGGAGGAGCACGAGGTCGAGGAGGAGGTCGAGGAGGAGGAGGAGTACTGGGAGCCGCCGACGGACACGAAGCCGACGCGCGACTACACGAACCCCAACAAGGAGGGCACCAAGGCCGCGGCGCACTACCACTTCCAGGGCGTGCCGGCCAACGGCGGCTGCGCCGTCGTGCGCATGAAGCTCACGCGCAAGTCGCAGCAGGAGGACCCGGCGATCAACGACGACGAGGCCTTCGACGCCGGCATCGAGGCGCGGCAGCGCGACGCCGACGAGTTCTACACGCGCATCGCCTCGGGCCCCATCTCGGACGACATGAAGAACATCATGCGGCAGGCGCTCGCGGGCATGCTGTGGAACAAGCAGCACTACACGTTCATCCAGCCCGAGTGGCTCAAGGGCGACGCGGGCCAGCCGGCGCCGCCGCCGGAGCGCAAGAACATCCGCAACAAGGAGTGGCGCCACCTGCACATGGAGGACGTGCTCTCGATGCCGGACAAGTGGGAGTACCCGTTCCCGGCCGTGTGGGACACGGCGTTCCACTGCATCCCGCTGGCGATGATCGACCCGACGTACGCCAAGAAGCAGCTCGACCTCTTCACGCGCGAGTGGTACATGAAGCCCGACGGCGCGCTGCCGGCGTACGAGTGGAACTTCTCCGACGTCAACCCGCCCGTGCACGCCTGGAGCACGTTCCGCGTGTTCAAGATCGAGCGCAAGATGTACGGGCGCGAGGACCTCGACTTCCTCGAGCGCGTGTTCCAGAAGCTGCTGATCAACTTTACCTGGTGGGTGAACCGCAAGGACTCGAGCGGCAGCAACGTGTTCGAGGGCGGCTTCCTCGGCCTCGACAACATCGGCCCCTTCAACCGCTCCGAGCCGCTGCCGACGGGCGGCATCCTGCGCCAGGCCGACGGCACGGCGTGGATGGCCTTCTACGCGCTCAACATGCTCAACATGGCCCTCGAGCTCGCCAAGCACAACCCGACGTACGAGGACATTGCCAGCAAGTTCTTCGAGCACTTCATCTTCATCAGCGACGCCATGACGTACAAGGACAGCGACGGCGCGGGCGAGGGCGTGAGCCTGTGGAGCGAGGAGGACGGCTTCTACTACGACGCCATCAGCTGGGGCGACGGCAAGAGCCAGGTGATCCCGGTCAAGAGCCTCGTCGGCCTGATCCCGCTGTGAGTGGATGTGTTCGTGTTGCCTCTGCTGTGTGCTGACATATGCCGTCACAGCTACGCCACGCTCACCCTCGAGCCGAGCGTGCTGAAGCGCTTCCCGAGCTTCGCCAAGCGTGTGCAGTGGTTCCTCGACAACCGGCCCGAGATGTCGCAGCGCAACATTGCCAACATGAGCGTGCCTGGCCGCGGCGAGCGCCGCCTGCTCTCGATGGTCTCGCGCGAGCGCCTCGAGCTGATCCTCAAGCGCATGCTCGACGAGACGGAGTTCCTGAGCAAGTACGGCGTGCGCTCGCTCAGCAAGTACCACCAGGACAAGCCGTTCCACGTCAACGTCGGCGGCGAGGACTTTGGCGTGGGCTACTGGTCCGGCGACAGGTGAGTGCGGCGAAATGCTGCGACGCTGCGTTGTGCTGACACCGCGCGCCAGTCAATCGCCGATGTTCGGCGGCAACAGCAACTGGCGTGGTCCGGTCTGGCTGGCCGTCAACTTCCTGTGCGTGCAGTCGCGCCTTGTCTTGCTGCGCTCTCGCTCACACATCACCACAGCATGGTCGAGTCGCTGCAGCGCTTCTACCAGTACTACGGCGAGGACTTCAAGATCGAGTGCCCGACGGGCAGCGGCGACTTCATGCACCTCGGGTGAGCCGCCTGCCGTCTCCGCCCATAGAGCGCCTGCTGATTCCACATCGCCAGCCACGTCGCCGAGGAGCTGCAGCACCGCCTCATCGCCATCTTCTCGCAGGACGACGCGGGTCGCCGCGCGTGCAACGGCGGCATGCCGAAGCTCGACTTTGACCCGCACTTCCGCAACCTCGTCGTGCTGCACGAGTTCTTCGACGGCAACTCGGGCAAGGGGTGAGTCAGGGAACAGGCTTGCGTTCTCGAGCGCAGCACTGACGTCTCCCTCTCCACAGCCTCGGCGCCTCGCACCAGTGCGGCTGGACGGGCCTGATTGCCTTCTCGATCATGAGCGCAGGCATGACGTACAAGTCGAGCACGCCGCGCACGCCGCGCTCGACGGCGCAGCACTACTTCGACGAGCACCTCACCGACGACGGCCGCAGCGACGCGGGCAGCCAGTACAGCGTGCCCTACAGCCACAGCTTCAGCCGTCCGCCGTCGCCCGACGAGCTCTGAACGAGGCGCCCCACATTCTCTTATACTTCCTGTCCCATCCTCCGTTCCCTGGTCACGCTGTGCGAACAGATACCGCTCCTTTCCCCACCTCCAGCTGCCACCTTTCCTCCCCCTCCTCCCTCTCTGCCTGTTGCACAAAGACACACACACCCAAGATGCGTGCGCGATTCCATGCGCATCACCCGACTCGCGCCCCGACGAGATGAGAGATACATGCATTCAGCCTGACTCTGACTGAGTGCGATCACGCTCGGATGAAGCGAGCTGGGCGCAGAGCGCTGCACCTTAACGAGACTTGGCTAGATGCTGCGGCGAGACAATCTGTCTCGCACGACCTTGCGAAGCGACGTCAAACTGCAGCGCGCTGTCACAACCCGCCACGACGGGCAGCGCTTCAAGTCTCGCACCATGCTAGTCTAGCATGGTCCGAGACTTGACTACATCGGCATGCTGCTGTGCTCTCAGTCCAGCCGCTCCTTCGCCGCCTTCTCGATGTTGAGCCAGTAGCGCAGGCGCACACTGCCCTCTCGCGCCGCCTGTATGTCTACCGGCTCCGCCGCAAAGGCCTCGCCCAGCTGCTGGATCGTCCGCTCGATGTGCGCTGTTGTGGCGTGTCAGCGGACCCTCGGGTAGCGCAGGCAAGGGGCTCACCCTCGTTCTGCTCGCGAACCTCGTCCACCGCCTCTGACGAACTGGCCTCGTCCAGCGCCTCGCGCAGCTCCATCACCTCCATCAGCAGCTCTGCATCATCTACGCCCTCGTCTTCTGCCGGCACGTCGGCGCCGAGATCTTCGAGCTGTGCGCAAAGGAGAATAAGCAGCGGCACAAGCGGATGACGCCGATCTGGGACGCACCAGCCAGTGTGCGCGTAGCAATGGCGAGCGCAGAGTCTCGTAGGCCTTGTTGAGCGCCGAGGATTGCGCTTCAGCTAGGCGTATCTGGTGCTGAGGTGCACTGTGCATCAGTACCGCAGCCCAGACGCAAAACACTCGTCCACGAGCAGGCTGTCGCAGCAAGACATCTCCATCGGCAACGCTGCCCTGCACTCACCTCTCCGCCATTCCTAGCTCGATCCGGATGCGCTGCGCCCATGCATTTCCGCCATGCCTGTTTGAGCGCCGGCAAGTCTACTTGCCAGCCATGTGCTGCGCCGCGCTCGACGCCCAGCAGTTGCCAAGGCGACACTCCGGGCGGCACGACTTGCAGTGCACCGCACTTTGCGTCTTGGCACACGAGTGCCTCGGGCGGGTTGGCGGCGTGGCACGTCGGGCAGGCCTTCTGCGTCTCGGATGCGGCTGCGAAAGCGCGTGAAGAGGAAGAGAAGTTCGCTGCGTGCTGCCGAGTGCGTCGGAGCGACTGATGCGGCACCGTCGAAGACAGTTGATGCCGCGAGGTGCTGGCGTGGCTCGAGCCTTGCAGATGCGGCGCCGTGCTGAGCGTGCGCAGAGGCGCCGCACGTGGCTGCAGGCGCGCTGCGCTGCGTGCGGTGGGCAGCAGAGTGCGGAAAGACGACGCCATGAGAAAGTGGCCTGAGCGCGCTGGTGTGATGGAGTGGAAGGAGGGTGCTCGAGGCAGCGGCCCCGTCGGCATGGAGCCACAGCGCGGCAGTGTCACGTGCATCGCCAGCGCAGCGCACCTCCACTTCGCCCCAGCACCAGGCCGGCGCCGGCTGCGCGCTCCTCGAGCTTCCTGCACGCTGACATCTCGAGGCTGCGCCTGCTGGGAGCAAGACGGAGACGAGGCACGCTCGTCCGGCGCTGTCCGGTGCCCGAGGCAGCGCGCGTGGCCCGAGCTGCATCTCGAGCGCCGCTCCCTCGTCGCGAGCTTCTTTCCATCGAAGCCGCCGATGGCCCGAATCTATGCTGGGGCGCGCCGAGAAGTGGGGCAGGGACTCACGCGGCGGGCGCGCGTGCCGCGGGAAAATAGCGAACCGCCCCGCTGCTGGCCGGCCTGCCCGTGCCGAGAGCGGGACGCCCGACGCCGGTCGAGGCTGCTGCTCGGCACCGCGGCTCGAGCCAGCGATGGGCCAGCTGTGCAACACGCTCATGTGCTCTCTGATCGCTGACGGAAGGCTTGCTCGAGTCGCTAGGCGAGCTTCAGCGCGGGCGAGACAGGAAGAAGCAGCGTCCGGCTGAGTTGGGTGCGCCGCATGTCGGGGCGCGCGCGCGCCACGCCGCGCGCGCGCGCGGCGGCGCGCGGACGTGCGCTGACGGTGATGCCGAGGCGCAGCGCCAGGCCGTGCCTGCCCGGTGCCAGGCGGCTGCGGCTGGTACAGCAAGCGCCGCAGCAGCATCAGAGCGGGACAGGCTGCGAGATGTGCGAAGTTGCGCAGCTTGCTGCGCGAGAGCAGGAGCAGCGCCTGCGTGAGGTAGACGCCGGCGTGGGGTGCGGTGTGATCTGGCGGCGGGGCGAGGGGCGGGCGCCGTGCCGCGCCCATCGTGCCGCGGCAGCGCCGCACGTTGTGCGCGGCCGCGTGGGTGCCGGGCAAGCGCCGAGCCTCGCACTCTCACCTCTCTCCTCTCACCCACCTCTCCCCCGTTCCTCACTTCGGCAACAGCGCCCGGCAGCTCGCAGCGCCGCGCCATACTTGCGCCGGATCGCTGTGCCTGCTCACTCTGCCGGACTCGCGCTCCTGGGCCATGCTTCCTGGCACCTCGCACTCTTCCCCTGCTCTCCTCGTCCGTGCTTAGCTCGCCCGCGTGGAGCGCTTCGCCCAGCTGCGACTGCGCACCAGCATCTAGAGCCACCCTCTACCTCCGTACCGGCATCTCCGCAACAGCCGCAGCACCGCCGTCGCCGTCGCTGCGGCGCATCGCCGGGCCGCGATGAACTCAATCGCCTACCTCGATGCGCTCCTCACGCGCTCTCTCACCTCGACGCCCGCCAACTCGCGCGCCCAGTCGCGGCGCGGCAGCGTCTCGCAGGGCAGCGGCAGTGGCGGCCGACGCAGCGCCAGCTCCAGCGCCGCAGTCACGGCCTTCACGAGCGTCACTGACGCCGACGAGCGCGAGGTAGCGCAAGAGGTGCTTGGCACCGCCGCTGCTGGCACGCGCGTCGTGCGCCGGGCGTCCGACTACTCGCTACGGCGCGGCGAGCGGGAGCGAAGACAGGCAGCGCTCGGCTTGGGCCTCACACCGGCACATCCTCCACCGACCGCCGACGAACCGGCCGCGGCTGCCGAGTCTTCCATTGCGGTCGCGCCAGCACCCGAAGCCGCCCCGCCGCCAGAGCCTGCACAGGCAGGCCCCAGTCGCGCTGCTGGGCGATCAAGGCCAGAGGGCCGCTCGCGCGGTCCACGCATCAGCGGCTCCGATGGCGGACCAGCGGTGAGCCTGAGTCCACTGGACCTGCCTCACGGCGCCATGACGCGGCGCGCCACGAGTGCGCGGCCCGCGACGCCGGCGCGCTGGGCCAGTCTGTGGGGCCTGCCGCTGCACGGCTGGTTCGAGCCGGGCGTCGGCTCTATGCCCGTGACGCCTTCGCCGCTGGCACGGCGCGCCAGCTCGGGCTCGCTGCGCCTCGGCAAGTGGCGCGACGAGCTGGAGGAGGCGGCCGACTTGCGGGCAGATGCTCTGCTTGGCGTCGGCATGTCGCAGGCCGAGGAAGAGGATGTGGTCGACTTTGAAGGCGGCGAGCCCGAGTCAGACGACGACAACCCTACTGCACCGCCAGCGACGCCAGCTTCGGGCCTGCTGCAGCACTCGCGCGGCGCCTCGGCCACGAGCCGACGAGAAGGCAGCGAGAGCACTCGTCTCGCGTCGTTCCTCTTTGGCGCACTCGCCAGCCGCGTGGACGACTACTTTGGCCCGCAGCCCTCGTCGCGCATGAGCAGTCCGCCAAGCTCGCCGACGGGCAGCAGCCGGCGGCGCTCGAGAGCGCCATCTAGGGTCGATCCGCTGGTGCCCGTCGGACCTGCTGTGAGCTCTTCCAGCGGCTCGTCTTCGGCAGAGGAGCAGAGTGGCTCGAGCACGTCCTCGCAGACGAAGTCCTCGGCTGGTACTGTGGCTCCGGACGAGCCAGCGCTGGTGGACGCAGCAGCGCTGACCGAGGCTGGTGCGCCAGACGATCCGAAGCTGCTGCCGCTGTCTGCGGATGCTGCCGAGGCAGTGACTGTGGACCCGCCGCCGCCGTACACGCCCGCGCCGCCCGAGTCGCCCGCGCTGGCATCGCAGCCGCTCTCGACTGTGCGGCGCGCCATTGCGGCCGTACAAAGAGCTCTCGATGCGCTGCGACGGGCGATCATCGCGCTGCTTCTGCTGCCGTTCCACTTGCTGCATCTGAAGAAGCAGCAGGCTCGCCGCGAGGAGCCCGTGCCCGCCTTTGCGCCGGCGCCGAGCACGCCGCCGCCCGCAGCCGAGCCGCGCCTGCGCTTCGCACCCGACAACAAGCCGCGACGGTCTGATTCGACTGGCGGGACTGCTTCCAGCACGGACGTGGAGGCACGCAGGCCGCTCACTCCAGGCGTCAAGGGCCGAGTCGTCAATCTCGTCGACGAAGCAGCCGCGAGCAGCGGAGATGCCAGCGCCGAGGAAAGCAGCGAGAACGAGCCGCACACGGAAGACGAGGCAGCAGCGAGGCTGAAGCGGCGGGCCGAGCGGCAGGCGCGCAAGGAAACGGCAGCACGAGCGGCGGGCATCGCGGCGGACGAGCAGAACGAGAAGAAGATTGCGCCGCCGAAGCCTTCGCCGAGCCGCCTGCTGCCGAACCCGCACCCCGTCAATCCCTACCTCGCCAAGGACCCCAAGGCGCGCAAGGTAGAAGACCGATTGCCCGACGTGGAGAAGGGCGTGGTGCGACGAGACGGCACGCTTGCGCCGTTGGCGGGGGGCATTCCACGCGCACCAGCGAGCCACGTCATCCACCACACGCCAAAGGTGCTCGTGCTCGATCTCGACGAGACGCTCATTCACTCCACCAGCCGCTCGCCGACGTGGAGTGCGCTGCGTGCCGGCGCGGGGCGGAGGCCGACGGTCAGCACTGGCGGCAGTCTGCTGGGCCTCGACGGCCTCGGCGCCAGCCTGGGTCTTGGAGAGCGCGGCGTCAGGCCACATCAGGTCGAGGTGCTGCTCGACGGCCGCAGCGTCATCTACCACGTGTACAAGCGGCCGTACGTCGACTACTTTCTGCGCAAGGTGAGCTGCTGCTGCGGCAAGCATGGCGCGCCTCTGCTTATGCTTCTGTTGCAGGTCGCGAGCTGGTACCACGTCGTCATCTTCACTGCGTCGGTGCAAGAGTACGCCGATCCGGTCATCGACTGGCTGGACCAAGGGCGCGGCCTCATCGGCGGCCGCATGTTCCGCGAGGTGCGCAGAGCAGAGGAGCGCCACAGTGGCGCACATGCTGACGCAGCAGCCTCGCAGGCTTGCACGTACCGCAACGGCTCGTACCTCAAGGACCTGGCGCTGGTGGACACGGACCTTTCGCGTGTCTGCCTCGTCGACAATTCGCCGATGAGCTACCTCATCAATCCAGGTGCGTAGCAGATGTGCCTCTTGCCGCCACGCAGCCTGCTGACTCGCTTCTGCAGCAAACGGCATTCCGATCGAAGGCTGGACCCACGATCCGAACGACGAGTGTCTGCTGGACCTGCTGCCCGTGCTCGATGCACTGCGCTTTGCGTCCGACGTGCGCAACGTGCTCTCCATCCGCGGCTTTTGAGCAGCGAGGCCTCTTCTGCGGCGACACTACTAACTGAGCAAGCCTCTCTCTCTCCTCCTCCTCTCGAAGACACATGCAAACCTCCCGCATCATCACGCGCATCAACTGCATAGCCCGCCCTCGCGAGCGCCGTCTCGCCCACACATCCATCAGCTCCCATCACCCACACTCCGTCTTGACCTCAGCCTCGCCCTGCTCTTCTGTATCTCTGTGCTTACACCTCCACACTCATCGCGCCCCATGTGCGCCTGCCTGCCTGCTGCTCCTGTCTCGCGGCCCGGCCCGAATCTACATCTGCAAACTCGCACAGCTGATGAGGAGGATGAGTGAATTGCAGAGGAGTTGTACAGGTGCAAGAGAGAGAAAGAGAGAGTCGATGACGGACGAGCAGAAGGACCAGAGACAGAGCTTGAGAGACTTGTGCGAACTAGAGGGCCGGAGCGCCGCGCGCGTCGGCGAGGCAGGCGCTTCAGATGCCTCCACCGCTGCGCTCGGGACGCACGTCGCGCCCGCCGGGCAGGCTGGAGGCGTGCAGCGCCGAGCGGCGCTGTGCGAAGGCGTAGGCGCCGGTGAGCAGCGCAGCACTGCAATTGGGCAGGCTTCAGCGTGAGATGATGTGGCAGAGAAGCGAGGTACCGTGGCGGCACTGTGTCGGTGCAGCGCCACTGCGCCACTGCGCCACTGCGAAGCGCTGCACTGGCAGGTGCCGCCGAGTCGAGGGCCGAGAGCACAGCTGTGGCTTGCAAAGCATAGGAGCTGAGGCAAGGGCCACACGTAATGGCCGCGCAGCCTCACTGAGCCCGTCCAGTCGAGCGCACGACTGCTGCTGCGCGCGCCTCTGTCACTGCTGCGCACCTGTGCACCCACAGCGTCGAGCAACGTGACGCGCCACTCACCCCGCGAAGAGGTTGATGGGGCGCGTGAAGGCGGACATGACGGACATGTCAGTGCGGACGCGATGAGGCGGGCTTTGAGATGCGAGAGGTGCGGTGAGGCAAGTTGCTGCTGGGTGCTGCTGATGGTGGTGGTGGCGGGAGGAGAAGCGGCGGCGGAGTGGAGTACGGCGCACGTCGAGGGTCCGTGCTGCTGCGCGTCACACAGCCATCACGCGACCTGTCAGCAAGAGCGGAGCCCGCCTCGGCGCAGCAAGCGCCGGCGTGCCGGGTGTGGGGAAGCGTGGGAGCAGCGCACGGCTGGGGAAGCGCCCCACGTGGCGGCTCCTCGCACGTCGCAGCTGAGGCCTCGAGCTGCGCCTGACTGCGCAGCCGCCACAGCGAGAGTCCCAGATGCAGCACGAGAAGAGGTCCCGCATATAGCAGCATCTCTCACTTGAGGCAAGGCAGGAGCACGGTGTGAGCAGCAGAGTCCCTCGCGCCGGCGCCGCCGCGAGCAGCAGCGCGGGAGAGGCGCTCGGCGGCGCGCGCGGCGGCGCGGATGTCGCCTGCTCTCGGTGCTCTCGGAGGCTGCGAGCGCCAGCTGCGGAGCTGCGACGATTATGATGCGAAGCAGCACATGGCCAGCACCTTCTTCAAAAGCTCGCGAAGCAGCAGACATGCGAGAAGCAGTACGAATATGAAGCATTAGGCCTGATGCGAGGCAGCTCGTGCGAGCGCAGTGTGTGAAATACAAATGGAGAGGAGCAAGGCGAGACGCGACTTAGGGCTGCTCCGAGTAGGCGCGCGAGTCGTCGACCTTCTGCGTGAGGCCGGGGTACTTGCTGCCGGCAATGTCGCGCTCCGTGCGGCCCTTGGGCTTGCGGTTGTCGCCAAAGAGCGCCGTGCACGCGCCGAAGCTCTGGTCGAGCATGGGGTTGAGCTTCGTCGAGATGCTGTCGAGAGCGGCCTGGAGCTGCGAGCCAGAGAGCAGGCCCTGCAGAGCGGTGGGAGCCTGGCTCTGGATCGTGTTGGAGATGAAGCATCCGAGCTTGTAGGGGTCCTGGAGCGCCTGCGCATTGTAGGCGCCGCCCGTGAGGTCGCCGAGGTCGATGCCGGCGAAGGAGTTGACCGTGCCGGTGTTGCCGCCCACGCCCGTCGTGCTCGGGTAGGCGACGGCCTGCTGAGCGACGGCAGCGACGATGTCGGCGAGCGTCCACTGGTTGGCCGGGTGGCGGCGCTTGTACGTGCTCGGGATGCGCTCGTAGCCGTACTTGTACGTGAGCGTGTCGACGCTCGACGGGTCTCCCGTGTAGCTGAACCACTCCATGAGCTCGGGGATGGCTGTGACGCCCTCGGGCTGCGTCTCGTTGCGCGTGGCCATCATGGCGACGACGAAGTGGTGCGCAGCAGGCGTGAAGGCAATGCCGGCAAAGGCGGGCGAGTAGTAGTTCGGGTTGTTGGCAATCGAGTGCAGCTTGCGGCGGTGCTGGTGCTCGGCCATGACACGGGGCGTGATCTGGCCCTTGTACTCATTGTCGCCGTTCATCTCTTGCGCAAGATCGATGAGCTCCTTGAAGAACTTGGGGTACGAGCGGCAGTTGCTGTTCTCGCCGGTCGGCTGCAGGAAGTCGCCACGCGTGATGGACGCGTCACCTGGAGAAGAGCGTCAGCGACAACTCAGCGACGACCCAGGGTAAAAATCGCCAGTGCGAAGGACCTACCTTCGCTCTTCAAATGTCCTAATCCGCAAATTCCGCTCTGTTCGCCAAGCAGAGCGTTCTGGAGGGGACCCAGGAGAGCCGACTTGGGGGTGCGGCCGCCGATGGACCACTTGCCGGACACCGGGTCGCCGTCGAAGAAGCTGGTGGTCGTCTCGAGGACTGAGGTGGTCAAGGACGATCAGCTATGTGTGGCGAAGAATTGGGAGCAGAATTGGGAGGAGAGGACGGGAGAGGGGGGGATGGGGAGGAGAGGTTGGGCGCGACGCGTCGGAGGTCACGCGCTCCCGACCTCGCGGGTCCCCGCGCCCTCCGCCATCACGCAGGATAATACTCACACACGAGAGCGTCGGTGCTGAGGCCCGTCATCTCGTGGAGGCCGTTGATGACCGTCTCGCGAGTGGCGATGCCGTCGCGCGGGAGGTAGCCGTGGTTGGCGGCTGCGTTGAGGCCCGGGCAAGGACCGCGCTGGTCGTCGGGGCCCGGAGCGCGCCACTCGTGCTCGCCGGAGAGGCTGATCGTCTGCAGCTTTGCATCGAAAGGCTGTTGCGAAAGCGGCGCACGAGGCAAGCCAAAGTTGTCTGGGACTGCGTATTTTTTAGGGTTAACTTCATGGCAACATGTTCTGCAGTCTCTCTTCATGTACTCACACGCAGAGACGGGAGGCAGACCGACGCCTTGACGCTCGACGAACTCGCGCGGCAGGCCCTCGAAGGCGTTGGCGCGAGCCTCGGCAAGTGCACGCATGGTGGCGGCGGGGAAGGCGGCGGCGCCAGAGGCGGCCAGAGCAAGAAGTGTCGAATAGGCGGCGAACTTCATGTTGAGGGGAGGGAGAGGAGGAGGGGTGAGTGGCGAGAAAGCAAACAGCCTCCGGAGGCCCTACCTTATATGCCTTTCCCGTCTCTCTGTGCTCGAGCACGCCACTGCACGTCCGTGCTGTTGACGGGCCCGTTGTGAGCGTCCCTAGTGCATCGGAGAAGGCGGCAGACTGCACAAGGGGGCAACGACGGGGTGCAGCACGCGTTCTGCGGCTGCCCATTGCGCTGCCTGTCCGGCCGAGGCCAAGACTCCTCGTGGCCGAGCATTAGCGTCTTTCTCCATGTCGACAGCAAGACGAGGAGGGTCTGCTGCATCCTGAGCAGCTCAGCTTTGGCCGAGGATTCGAAATGCGGGGCAGTGCCATTGGTCCTCCCGATGCGAATGCGGGGGGAGGCGAGGTGCAGCGCTGCAACTCGACTGCCCGAGCTCACAGGATTCTCCGTGCGAGCTGCCTCGCACGCCGAGCACCCTACTGTCAGTGGCCGGCCGTCGAAAAAGAGTGAGCTAGAGCGTCGCAGCGGCGTCATGGCCGCAGCGGAGCGGCCTTGTTCGACGTGTGTGCTGGGCCGCTAGAAGACATTGGGGATGGACGCGCCGCTGCTGGCTGACTTGGTGGCACGGCACCTGACGGCTGTGCGCTGCTCTCTCGGGGCCCGAGCCGTCGCCAGTGGCAGCAGCCGGCGGCGCATCTCGCAGCGTGCAGGGCGCACGAGGTCGAGCATGAGGCCCGTCCAAGCATCCAGGTGGCCACAGGCGCAGCCTAGCAGCGGTCCATTCGCCGGCCCGCTCTGCATTGCCGCGGAGGGTTCGGGCAGGCAAGCTGCTCGCTGCTCCTGGCATGCTCCATGCTCATGACGCAGCGCTCGCAGCGGCGGAGCCCCAACAGACGGCCGCGCATTGCGCAGCAGCGACCCGTCACAGCCGCAGCCGACGGCCGGTGCCCGAGCCGTTGAGGTGCGAGCTGCGCTCTTGATCTGCACTGCAGCACAGAGCGGCAGAGCGGCAGCTGGTGCAGACGGAGCCGCCGACGAGCGCCCGCTTCCGCCGGCTGCGTTGCCGAGGCTAAGCTTGGGGCTCAGACGAAGGGCGCCAGATCTCATCCGGCGAGCGGAGAGAGAGTGCTGGCGCCTCTCTGGGGCCGTCTGAGCCTCAACGCCACCACCGCTCCGCTCTCGGCCGCACCACCCAGGGGTCTGCTGGCTCTTGGCGGCCTCGGACGCTGCGCCGATGCGCGGCGTGACGCTGAGCATCGCCATGCCCGAGGCCGTGGCGGAGCGTGTCGGCAGCGGAGCGGCGCGCGTGTCTCTCCTGTCTGCTGCCGCTGCTTTCCCCGAGCCCGACGCAGCGAGCAGGCGCACACGCTAGCCCAGCCGCTACCCCGCAAACCTCGGCCCAGGAAAGCGTTGGAGCGTCAAGAGGCAGATGCGAGGTGCGCGTCTCTCAGGCCATGTCGCGCGCTCCAAGCTCGCGGCTGCACGCCGGCGTCTGCTCCGCGTTAGCGTCGCGCGAGGTCGCCGCCTCGCCGCAGCGGTCCAAGCGCGGCCCGTCGGCGCGGACGCAGCGCAACAGGCAGATGCGGGGTGACGCCGTCACTTCTCCATCCCGCACCCGCACCCCTCCAATGCCCCGCCGCACGCTGCATGCCAGCGCGTCCACGCACTGAGCGCCCCCCAGCGAACTCTTGCCTCGGCCCACCACGCTGCCTCGGCCAGCGTTGCGGGCTAGACGTGCATGCGAAAATCACTCGTCCCCTCAGCATGCGCGACGCAGCGAACAGAGCGCAGAGCTAGCATGCATCTCGCGCCCTACGCAGCCAGACAGCTCAGCGTCAGAGAAGAGCGGGAAGCAGAGGCACAGGAGAGACAGCGGCAGGACTCGCAGAGGGAGATGCGCAACAGCCAAGGTGAGCGGCATTGCAGGCTGTGCTGCGCATCCGCCCCGCGTCGAACAAATGGCCGCATCGTGAGCCTTCAGGGCTGGCGCTGGATGCTGGAGCAGCTCAGGCGCGCTGGAGCGCCGGCCTCGCAGTCAAGGATGCTGGGGTTGCGTCGAGCTTGCGTGCCGCGTCGGCCGTCGGCAGCTGTGATGGCCCGCGTTTTGCAGGTTGGATGCTTGGCTCTGCGGGCGTGAAGGAGCGAGGAGAGAGAGAGAAAAGGCGCATGCGGCACGCCACCAGGCTGTGCATCTTGAGCCGAGCCGCGACTGCCGGCCCTGCGCTTGGACTCTCTTGCTGCGCAGGCTCATGGAGCACCTCTCTCGAGGTCGCGGGACAAGCACGCTCGAATACAGCAAGTGGCGAGTGTGGCGACAGACAGCGCTCTTGTTCGGCTCTGCCCAAGCTTTGCCGAGCTGTCGAGCACCCCTGACCCATGACAGGGTTCTCTGTCGCTCCAACGCCGCGAGCGCAGCGCCACTCTTGCGACGCAGCCGCGGCTCACAGACGGGCTGCAGCGAAAGAGCTCACATGCCGAGCCAGCTTTGTCCGAGAGTCGAGTAAGAGGCGTGCACGACAGCAGCAGCGACGGACCGTGCTGGTGCATCGCCCGAACGCAGCCTGCACGACAGCTCTGAAGCTCTGAAGCTTGGCGAGCGAGATGCCGAGGCAGGGTCCCTCTCGGCGACCCGGCGGCAACGCATCCGGTGCGGCACTTGCACGGCCGCCACCGGCTCGCCGGACCGTCAATCAAGATGCAGAACAGGCTAGCATGAAGCGCGACAAGACACGATGCGGCATTGCGGATGCGAGCGCAGACGTGACAAGGAGTAGGAGTACAAGCTGGGTCAGGAGGCACGAGAGCGCGAGGGCGGCGTGGGTGAGTAAAGTGTCATGGGCTGGAAAAGGCGGAACGTGGCGAAGAGGGGCGGACGAAGCGGGCTCAAGACGAGGTTGGGGTCGAGGCGGCTTTGGCGGCGCACGTGCTTGCCGAGAGGCGAGGCGACTAGCAGCCGTCGTAGCTGTGGGAAGGAGGAGGGTCAGTCACTGAACGGGAAGGATGTGTGCCGCCTCGAGCGTGGCACGCGCTTCTCCTTCCCCTCCACGACCACGACACAAACACGCACCGGCCGGGAATGATCTTCTTGCAGCCCGACTGAGGATGGCGAGCAGGGCGTCAGCAAGGTGTCGTCGAGGAGAGGATGCGCCGGCACGCACCGTGTCGAACTGCAGCGGGCAGTCGGACTGGTTGTCGCAGCAGCTGAGGAGCGCGAGCGTCAGCAAGGGCTGCATCGGCGATCGGCAGCCGCTCCTCACCGAATGCAGATGCGGTTCGCGTCGGGCTCGACAATCTGCACGTAGTGGTTGTAGCCGAGGCAGACGGAGCCGGCCGGGTTGCCCTTGCCGTCGGTGCCGCCGGGCGCGCTGTCGTACTGGCCGCCGCCGTCGTTGGGCTGCAGGCGCGGGCTCTGCGGAAGAGGCATCAGCACGGCGACAAGCATGGCGAGGATGGTGCGGCACGCACAGCGCTGGCATTGATGCAGCCGGTGAGCTGCACCTGGCGGCCGCCCGACTTGCCGCGAGCCTTGGAGACGAACGGTCCGCTGGTGAAGAACTTGGCCGGCACCTGAGAGAAGATGGTCAGCGAGGGACGCGGCGGGGGTGACGAGCCAGATGACTCGCCTTGCCCTGGCTGCTGTCGTAGCGCTTGGTGCAGTAGCTCTTGGCGCCGCCGGGGAACTCGCTGTCGCCGATGGTGCTGTACTTGGCGCGCGGGAGGATGACGCACTGGGGGGGGGGGGCAAGGCAGGTGTCAGCATGGAGAGGCGATGGCGACGCGGTCGGGCAACGCACGAAGTCGGTGCTCGACGTGACCCAGACCTGCAGGTCCCTGTATGGCACGCTGGTCAGCGAGGCCGCCGCGAGGGCATGCCTTCTGTCGCACGCACGGAGGCGCACGGCTCTCGAGGTCGCTGCGCGCGGCGGGCTGCGCGAGCGAGGCGCTGGCGAGCGCGAGGGCGGCGGCGAGGGCGGCAAAGGTGCGGAGGAACATGGTGTTGGAGGCGGCTAGGTGGGGGGTGTGGAGGAGAAGGTGGGGGTGCCGCTCCTTGACAGCTGCGCGATGGCCGCCCTTATGTAGCTGCGAAGGCTGAGCGAGGGCCTGCGAGGGCCGCGACCGCATGGCCAGTGCAGCACAAGGCAGCATGATCGCTGCTCCCGCCTCCGCTGCCGCAGCGGGACGCGCTCGCGGCCGCCGACCCTGCCGCCTGCCGCCCGGCGGGAGCAGGCCGCCGAGCCGCAGGCAGCGGCGCCGCAGTGCCGCCGACGTCGGTCCAGCACCAGCCCAGCGCAGCCCAGCAGCCACCGCGCACGGCCATGGGTGCCTGATCTGGCTGCGTTCCCCCGGAGCGGCCACACGCCACGACGACGCACCACGCGTCACGCTGGGCGAGCTGCGCGCCTCGCCGTGCTTGGCCCTGCACGCGCCTGTCCAGCCATGGCCGCTGTGCATGCTTGCCCCTGGCCAGCGCTGAGGTGCAGTAGGCCTGCGATGGCGCAGCGCTGCCTCTTCTGTGCGTCGCTGCTGCACGTCGCTCCTATGCGAGCGAGCCTTCTCTCGGGCGTGCGGCAGAGGAGCAGCGAGGCGTCCCAGGCGCGGGACGCAAAGCGCGGCCTTGGCGCTGCACCTTCGGCGCGCAAGAAGCCGCGCGGCCCGGCGTCTGTCTCGCGTTGAGCGGCGGCATGCGGCCTCGGCCGTGCGAGGACCCTCTGCGGCAGAGCGCAGAGCGGCAGAGCAGCGCCTCACCTCGTGTCCCTTCCGCGCCGCAGGTCCGCCGGCCAGGCGGACGCTAGCGCATGCAGAGCGTCGATCGGACGAGGGGCGGCTCGGCGCGAGTCGCCTGCGCAGGGCAAGGCACAGCGGCGGCGTTGCGCTGCGAGCGGCCCTTGGCTGGGCACGGGGCTGCGGCGCGCACCAGCGCTGGACGCTGCCTGCTCCCACTCCACCTCACCCCTCTCGCTCCCCCTGCCATGTCCGACGCAGGCACCGGCAACACCCCACACGCCGGCCGTGCCGTCGCTGTCAACGTGCTCGGCACGCTAGGCGCCGTGAGCGTGGGCCAGATCTGCTCCGACGTCGCGCGCTGACAGCCGTGAGGCCGGCAGGTCTTCTGGTCCGTCCAACTCCTGCGTGAGCTGCCTCCCACCTCTCGGCGCGCCTCCTGACCTCTGACGTGGACGCCTGTCTGCCAGCGCAAATGTCAGTTGGCGCTGGCGCCGTCTCGGCAGCTTGGCGCACCCCCGCTCACACCGCTTCGTGGCGCGACAGATGGCTCAACTGGCGTCGGGGCCACACGCGCGGCCTGCAGCCGAGCATGATGCTTCTCTGGGCCGCCGCTGGTCTGCCGCTCGGCATCCACAACATCCTCGCCGAGCTCAATGGTACGCTGGCTCAGCCGGTGCGAAGCGGCCCGCAAGTGCTGAACCCGAGCGCCATCAGTCGCGCTGCAGGTGCAGGCCCAGATCCTCACGGCGCTCTCGCTCGGTGCGTGCGAATCGAGAGCTGCACTCGCCCAGGCTCTGACATGGACGCGCAGTCACATGGGCACAGGTCATGTATCTCGGACATGTGCGTAGCCATGAGCTGCGCCTGCAGCGCCGCAGCAGCTCACGCTGCATGGCCGGAGACAGAAGTGGAGCATGCTCAAGACGCTCAGCGTCACTGGCGCGCTCATGGCGCTCGCCGGCGGCATCGAGGTGGCTTTTGTCTGTGGCTTTCGAGTGAGCACTCCCCCTGCGCTTCAACACGAGCGGCCACTGAAGCCCCCCTTGCGCAGTACGGCGCGCAGAGCGTGCCCAGCAGCTTCATCCTCGCCATGGCCATCCTAGCCGCCGTGGGGCTAGGGCTTGGCGTAGGCCGGTGTGTCTGACACGCCTCCTCGACCGAGAGCGCATGCTGATGCTGTGGAAACCAGGCACTACGTCGACATGTACCAGCACCGCTCCGTGCGGGGCATCTCGTGGGGCTTCGTCTTTCTCGACGCCGGCGGCGATCTCTTCTCGCTGCTCTCGGGTCAGCCGCGCCGCTCTTGCCCCCATGTGAAAGCCACTCGCTCACAATCGCTCCACTCCAGTTCTGCTCGAGCGCCCGCTCTCCGCCGCCTCAATCGCCATCTACGCAACCGAGCTGCTGCTCTGGCTCGGCGTCATGTTCGCCGGGCTGGCGTGGAACGTGCCGCAGTGGTACAGCTCCCGTCGCGGCGTCGAGCGGCGTCACGACTCTGCCGATGCGCAGGCCCCGGCACTTGAAATGGAGCCGCAGCGCTCGCCCGCTGGAGCCGCAGTCGACGCCGACGCGGCCTCGTCGACGCACAGCGTCTTCCGCACGAGCGGCTGGGATCGCCTGACGCGGCGACTTAGAGATGCAGCGCAGCCAAGGCAAGAGCTGTGAGACGCAAATGCCATGGCATGCCTGGCTGCGTAGAGGCAGGCATCCCGCAGCGCAACACGTGTCGCGGCTGCTCGCCCAAGGAAATGCGGCAAGAAGATGGCGTGCGTGACAATTGCGGAACAGCTGAGTAATGCTACAGGGGTATGGCGTGCAGGAAGACGAGAGAGACGGATGCAGCGCAAGCCAGGATGGTGGGCAGCATGTGCGAGATGAAAGAGACGCCAACGACCGCAGTGCGCGTGTGCCCCGCTCAGCCGAGGCTGTTGTTCCAGTTCATGCCCATGCCGAGCGGATCGCCGAGGTTCATCTGCCCGTTCTGCCCCTGCATGCCCATCTGCTGTTGCTGTTGCTGTTGCTGCTGCTGCTGCTGCTGCTGCTGTTGCTGTTGCTGTTGCTGCTGCTGCATCAACGCGGCAAAGTTCTGCATCTGCTGCTGCTGCGTCTGCTGCTGCTGCTGCTGCTGCTGCTGATTCGCGTTCGGCGTGCCCAGATGTTGAGGAATGCCGAGGTTGTGCAGAAGCTGCTGCTGCTGCAGCTGCTGCGCCTGATACTGCGCCGCAGCTTGCTGTTGCTGCTGCTGCTGCTGCTGGAGCGAAAGCATCTGCTGCGAGTGCGACGACTGCATCGAAAAGGCGCCGCCGTTGAGCGCGTTCTGCCCGAGCAGCTGGCCGTTCATCTGCGGCATGCCTTGGCCTTGGCCTTGACTCTGCTGCTGCGGAGTTTGTTGACCGAGCTGCTGCTGCTGCTGCTGCTGCTGCTGCTGCTGCTGCTGCTGCTGCTGCTGCTGCGATTGCATCTGCTGCTGCTGCTGAGCCTGCATCTGCCGACTGGCCAGCACGGCCTGCTGCATGATGGCGTGCTTCTGCGCGTCGGTGAGACTGGCCATGCCGCCGTGGATGTTGTTGGCGTTGAGCTGCTGGTGCAGCGAGAGCATGAGCGCGCGCTGCTGCGGCGTCATTTGCTGTGCGCCCGTCGGACGAGGCTGCGGCGGCTGCGCAGATTGTTGCTGCGGCGTGTGATGCTGCTGCTGCTGCTGTTGCTGCTGCTGCACCTGCTGTTGCTGCTGCTGGAGATGCTGCGCCATCGAGTGTTGCTGCTGCTGCATCTGCGCATAGTTCTGCTGGCCGTTTTGCTGCTGCTGTTGCTGCTGCGCCATGGCCGCAGCCATAGCCTGCATCTGTTGCTGCTGCATGCTGAGGCCCGGCATCATGGCCGCACTCTGCGGCGGCGAGCCATGCATGCTGCGGGGCGTCGGAGCGGCCGAGGGCATGGCGCCGTGCTGCCCTGGCTGGCTCTGCTGTTGTTGCTGCGAGTGCGTCGGCGGCGGCGGCGACATTTGGCTCTGCAGCGGCGTGCCCATGTGTCCTGCGGCGCCGGGCGGGATGCGCGAGGCCATCTGCGGCGTGCCGGCCATCGTCGTGGCAGGCGAGGCGGCGTTGCTGGAGCCCGGCATCGTCGCGCTCGTCGTCGATGCCGGAGCGGCAGCCGCAGCTGCAGCAGCGGCAGCAGCAGCGGCGGCGGCCTTCTTGGCCTTGGGCATCTTGCTCGGCGGCACCTTCTTCGGCGCTGCCGACGCAGGCGTCTTCTTCTTGGCACTGGCCGATTCCGGCGCCTCTGAGCTGCGCGGGCCCGAAGGAGCTGGAGTCTTGACCTCATCTTCCTTGGCCGCAGCCGCTGCCGCTGCAGCCGCAGCCTCGGCCTCGCGCTGCTTCTTCGTCTTGCCCTTCTTCTTGGGCGCCGGCGTAGATGCAGCAGCGGCTGCAGCGGCGGCAGCCTCGGCTGCCTCCTTCTCTGCCTTCTCCTTCGCTTCTCGCTCTTCCCGCTCGCGCGTCTCCTTCTCCAGCTTGGCCTTTGCCTTCTTGGAGAGCTTCTTCGCCGGCTTGGCCTCGTCCTCCTTGGCTGCAGCAGCAGCTGCTGCTGCGGCGGCGGCCGCGGCGGCCGCAGCCTCCTCTTCGGCCGCCGCCTTCTCCTTGGCCGTCTTCTTCTTCTTCTTCGCGGGCTTCTTCGTCTCGCCTGCCTCGTCGGCCGCGGCGGCGGCAGGACCACTGGCGCCCGCGATGGCCGCAACGGGCCCGCCAGCAGCCGCCGTCTCGGCCGCGATCTTGCGCGCTCGCCAGCCTTCGATGAAGGAGATGCGCTCGAAGCTGCGACGAGGCGTGTCAGTGCGGGATCAGCAAGGTCTCAGGCCTGCCTGGGCGGCCCTCTCCGCGCCGCATACAGCATGCCGTCCAGTTGCAGCGATCACGGCACTGTCGCAGCACAGCTGCCATGCCACAAGGCTCTCACGAATGCTCCCCCTCTCGCCAAACCCCCTCGCAGCTCCGTACTCACCCAGCTCTGAATGCGCCCTGATTGCCCATCTCCTTGCCCGCCTCTCTGGAGCGCACCATGAAGCGCATAATCTCCTCTCTCCGTCTCCTCTTCCTTGCCTCTTCCTCCAGCTCCGTCGAGTTGCCCGGCGCACGGCGTTTCAACGCGCCGCCGTGCTGCGTCTCCTCTTGCTCCCCGTCCTGCGCAGGTGCCGCCGGCTCGACGGGCGCGGAGGCCGAGGCGTGATCGAGAGGGATGAGCGTGGTGCCCGAGGAATGTGAGCTTGGTAATGAAGAGGGAGCGGCCGTGGCGTTGAGCATGAGATTGGCGATGCGCGCGAGGTGAGGATCGGGGTCAAGACAGAGAGGCGGCGTCGTCAATGCCTGAAGAATGTCGGCATCAGCGCGGCCACGAGACGTCAGGCAGGCGCACTGCAGGGGAGGAAGCTGCTCACCAGCACGCCAGCCTCGACCCTTGCCACCTCATCGTCGCTCCAGTTGCACTCTTCCCGGCGATCCCAGTTGCGCAAGTCGGTGTAGAGGCTCTCGTCGTTGGGCCACAGCACGACGCGGTACACCTCTGCCAGCGTGCCTGGTGCCGGCGCCGCCGCCTGTGCAGCGACGGCGGGAAAGGAAGAGAGCGAGAGAAAGCCGTACTTGGCCTGTGAGGGCGAGGGCAGTTGGAGAGGAGAGGAGGAGGGCGGTCGATGGTCGTGGATCTCGACGATGAGCGTGCCTGGCGGGGTCAACACGTGAGCAGATGGGCAGCCCCAGTGCCCGGCTTGCACACACACGCCCGCCCGCAAGACGCACCCTCGAAGAACTGCACGCGCGCCTCGTGGAGCACCTCGAGCAGCTCGCAGGGAATGCGCTGCTTCTTGACGTACTCGAGGAAGCCCTGCGCCGGCATGGGGTCAGCCAAGTGGACGTGCGTGGCCTGCCCTCTGGCGCTGTGGCCCACTCACGCGCATCGGCGAGCTAGGCAGCTGCATGCCGTTCTGCGCATCGCAGTTGCATCAGTGTGTGCCTGTACCTGCCTGCTGCATGCCCCACGTACCGCGCCCTCAAACGTCCAGCACGCGCCGGCAAAGAGGTGGATGCGGAGCGAGGGCGCATAGATGGGCGCGCGGTAGCGCTTGAGCAGCTGCCGTGTGGCGCGCGAGGCGTTGTACATGCACGACGTCGTCGACATGGCGGCGGCGGCGTGCGCGCGCTGCGTGCGAGCCGGCGCAGAGCGAGCAGAGGGGGAGGAGAAGGAGAGAGGCGGCACAGCGAGAAGGAGGGGCAAGGAGGTGGAGTGGAGCCAAGGCGCGCGCCTCGGCGGCGAATGGGCGCGCTGCACGGCGTGGGAGCAGCACCGCCCGCCGCATGCCCGCGCGCGCCACGCCCACGCACGGCCAAAAGCGCGCGCCTCGATCGGGCACCCATCCTGCCTTCGCTCCACCACTCCGCTCTGCCGGCGCCGTCCTCGCTCGCGCTGTCTTGGCCTCGCGCCGAAGCCGCCGCAGCCAGGCGGCCGCGAGGCACGCCGCGGCAGCCAAGCAGCCCAGCACCCTGCACCTCTCCTCATGCCCGTCCGCCTCCACTCCATGGCGCCTTCGTCATCGCTGTTCGGCTGTCGGCCGCCTGCGCCTCGTGTGCTCCTGGTGAGTGCACGACACGACCCTGCTCCGGGATGAGTAGCTGACAGCACTGTCGCAGACGAGTGTGTGTCGTCGACGAGCGCACGTCATTGCAGCCTTCGCCGAGCTGGTCGGGCATCGTCAACGACGTTGCGCCCGCTCAGGCCATCTTCTCCTCCGGTGAGTGTGCATGCCTGGCTGCTACGGCGCTCGGCAGCTGACATACGGGTGCGCAGCCGAGAGCGTGTCGTCGACCGGCAACGTCGAGGCCGCGAACGAGAGCATCGCGACGACAGCCGCTCGACCAGCGCGAAGCCGTCGACTCTGCCCAGCGCGGCCTCATCGCACGTCACGGTCGCCGGGAGGGCAGACTGCTGCCAGCCTGCATGGAGCTGGACCTTCGAACACGCTGAACGCGGCAGCGCCAACGGCCAGCGTGTTCGTTATTCAGGGCCATGCATGCCGGCAGCTGTCTCATCTCATCGCCGCCGCACGACGATCTGCAACTCTCAACGGGCCTCAGCCCGACACGCAAGCAACAACGACGAGGTGCTGCGGCTCGAGACGAGGACGCCTTCTTCACCGTAGCGCGTAGCCTTTTCGCAAAGCCATTGCGACGAGTCCTCACGCTGCGATGTCGAAAGCGGCATCAGTTCGAGCTGCAGGATGCTCTGCCACGCAGCGCAGCTGCATCAAGTTTCGTTGCTGTCTTCCTTCGACCGCCGAGGACGATCAAGAACTCTCAGCGCGCCTCGATACTCCGCACCACGACGACGACGAGCTGCTGCGGCTCGAGATGAGACTCGATGTATTGCCGCCTTGCGCGCGGGCTCATCGCACCTCGATGAGTCGCGCGTGCGGCGGTGACGACGTCGACTTCTTCTCGAACAGGATGCAGATCGTTCGCCATCATGCTGGTCGTCACCGGACGACAATCAGCAGCTCTCTTCGTCTTCAACTACGCCGCGCAGCTAGAGACGAGGTGCTGTGACTCGAGGAGTCGTTGGGCTCTTCATCGCTGCGCGCAGGCTCGTCGCGTGCCGACGAGCTGCGCGTGCAGCGACGAAGATGGCGACTGCAACTCGAGCTGCTGCGCCGTCGTTCGCCATCGTCCTCTTCCTCGTCGCCGCCGGACGATGACAAGCAGCTTTCGGCGCGTTCAAGCACGCCGCGCAACTCGAGAGGAACTCTGCACGTCACCGCCGCACGCGAGCTCGTCGCATGTCGACGAGCTGCGCGTGCGACGTTGTTGTTCGTGAGCGCTTCTCGAGTTGCAGCGCGAATCGTTCGTTACTCTCCTCGTCGTCGCCGGACGATCTCGAGCAGCTCTCGGCGCGTCCCATCATGCCGCGCGACTAGAGCGAGGCTGCAGCTCAAGCGCGTCCCTTTTTGCGTGCCGTGCGTGCAGCTCGTCGTCATACGACGAGCTTGCGCTTATGGCGTGCAAGAGAGAGACGTCGACTCGAATTGCAGCGCGCTTCGTTAGTCGTCTTCGTCGCCGGACAAGAATGAGGCGCTGCTACCGCGCCTGACCGCGTCTCTCGACGACGAAGACCTGCTGCAGCCCGAGCTTGCATGGCTTGGGGCTGTCATAGCTCTTCCTCGTCAACAAGCTGGTGTCAGGACGCCGTAGCGCGCCTGTCGACGTCGCACAGCTACCAGCCGACGATCGCTCGCTCTCCTCGTCGACGCCGCGCAAGATTGGGGTGCAGGCAGCGCTTCCAAGCCATCGCCGCGACAGCGAAGACCTACTGCAGCTCGGGCTCGTCGCGCCCGGACCTGTAGCAGCTCTTGACCGTCTTCACCATCGATGGCTAGGAGCGCTGCCAGCACCTGTCGACGTCGCGCAACGTGGGCTCAACTCCTACGGCACGAGGATGGGTCGCTCTCCTCCTCGTCGCTCCTGGATCGCGCTCTCAGCGCGTCTGAGTGCGCTGCGCAACTTAGTAGAGTGTCGGAGACTCGAGTCTTGGCTTCTACCTGCGCCATTGCGATCCTGCGTGGCTCACGCAGCATCGCGATGGCTCAGTGCTGCTCTACATTGTTGTGCGGCGTCCTTCGGCGAGCTCGAGGAGATCAAGGCGGCAGCGCGCGTGCGTCGGTCGACTAGAAGAAGCTCAAGATCAAGTCGCTCTCGGCATCGTCTCTCCGCCAAGTGCAAGCTCTTCGTGTGACGATGCACCGCCAGCTCGCCGACCGTCTACTCTCGATGCGCACTCCCGTCGTCGTCGTCGGGCGAGGAGGAGAACACTGAAGCTGGACGAGTATCATCACAGCCTCGCGATCGGGCCGAGCTCATGCTAGCTCGCCCCGCGATTTCGAGGCTCTCATGATACTGTTCCAGCTGACAGCGGTTTCCTCCTCGCCCTCCGTCCGCCGTCGACCGACGAGGAGAGGCAAGTGCGGTACAGCCATCGCATCGATCGGGGCTTCGCTAGCCGGTGAGTGCTGAGCCTTGCGCTCACCCGAGGACCGCGCTGCAGCCTAGCACACCTCTGACACTTTCGCCCTCTTCTTCTCATCGGCAGACACGCCGTCCACGCCATTCGCACCTCCATCGTCCAGCATACGTCTCATCATTCACTGCACCTCGTCATTCTTTGCCGTCACCCACCACTCTCTGCGCATGTGAAGCCACACGAGACGGGCGTCTTCGTCGTGCATCCGTCCCGTGGCCAGGGGCCACGCTTCCCGAGCCACGAGACGGATACGCGGCGATGACAGTTGGTCCGTGTGTTCTTCGTAGATACCCGTCATGACATACTACCCTAGCCGTGAATCCTCTGTGACCGAGTGCGCCAGCGAGGGCCGGGGCGGAAGACTGTGAGGCAGCTTGGCTGTGGGCTGCGTGACCCAAGACAGTGGCTAGAAGCGGTGCGTGCGCGACCGAGAGCAAGACAGCAGAGGGTCGGAGACAGAGAGGGGCCTTGCGTGCGCAGAGTGGCGGCGAGGGTCATGGCAGCCAAGAGCGAGGCCACGAGGTTGAGGGAGCTCCTCGCAGTCGAGCCGCGGCCGCGCACGCGCGGCACGACGCCCGTGCGGCGTGCTTATGGCGCGCCGGCGGCAGCTCGCGCATCTTCGCTCCGCACCACCACCTCGCACCCCTCATGCCGCCCAAGCGTCCCTCGAGCGGCGGCGACGACGACGACGTGGCGGCGAGCGGCGCCAAGCGTTCGCGCCTCGTCGTGCGTCTCAAGCCCTCCTCTGCCGCCGCCGCCGCGCAGGCGGGCGGCAGCAGCGGTGCCGCCTCCACCTCGTCGCGCGCCTCCAGTCCGCGCCTGGCCGGCGGCGTCGCGACCGACGATGCGCCCGACGACCTCGTCGAGCCCGAGTTCGAGTCGGGCTCCGATGACTCGGACGCCGGCGCGCACCTCTCCATTGCTGTGGGTCGGCGCCGTGCGCCGCCCAAAGGCCGACGGCGCGCCGCGAGCAGTGAGGCAGACACGAGTGAGCCGCACGAGGCCCTCACGCCGCCGGACGAGGAGCAGCGCGGCAACCACTCGGCAGACACGCTCAAGCTCGACCATGCCAGTCGCCCGCTGTGGATCAATCCCGACGACCGACACATCATCCTCGAGGGCTTCAGCCCCATTGCGGAGCAGGCCATGGACTTTCTCATCGCCATCGCGGAGCCGGTCAGCCGGTGAGTGGCGCGCGAGGGGCACCCATGGTGGCGCGAGAGAATGGAGGGCAGCCGCGGTGGCACGAGAAGAGCGGGGTGAGGGCGATGGGCGGAGGTGGGAGCGCAGCGCCGGGTGCCCGCTTGCCCGTCCGAGAGTTCGCACTGCTGGAGGGTGCCGGCGCAGTGAGCGCTGCCCAGTCGCTGCTGTGCCCCTGCGGCCCTGGCCGCCACGCATCTCACACCCCTTCCCAGGCCGACTTTCATCCACGAGTACAAGCTCACGATGTACTCTCTGTTTGCCGCCGTGTCGGTGGGCCTTCAGCCGACGGACATTCTCGAGGTGCTCAACCGCCTGTCCAAGTCTCCCGTGCCCGCCAGCGTGGCCGCCTTTGTGCTCGACAACACGCAGTCGTTTGGCAAGGTGAAGCTCGTGCTGAAGCAGAACCGCTACTACATCGAAAGCGCGCATGCCGATGTGCTCCGCCGCCTGCTGCAGGACGAGGTGATTGGCCCGGCTCGCATCACCGAGGCCGAGGGAGAGTCGAGAGCGCAGAACGGCCGCCTGCAAGTGCTGGGTCGAGCCGCGGCGCCGAAGCGCGGAGACCTCGTCATTCCCGGCACCGAGGGCGCGGCACGCAAGGCGGCGCCCGCCAATGCCGCTGCGGCCGCTGGTGCTGGCGGAGCGCAGATTGGTGCTCGGCCTGGTGCCCGACCTGCGGCGCCCGCACCGCCGACGACGGGCAGTGGCGTGGGCCGCGAGCCGCCTGGCTCGGCGGCGGGCGCATCAGCTGCCATGGCAGGCGCTGCGGCCGCCACCGATGCGGATCTGTTCAGCGCCATCATTGGTGTAGACGACGAGGCCGACGAGGCTGCGGCGCTGGACGACGAAGATGTGGTGCATTCCTTTGAGATTCGCGAGGAGCTCACCGAGGACGTGCGCCGGCGCTGCAACGACATTGGCTTCCCCATGCTCGAGGAGTACGACTTCCGCAACGATCGTCTCAATGCCGACCTCGACATCGACCTCAAGCCCGTGACGCACATCCGGCCGTACCAGGAGAAGAGTCTGAGCAAGATGTTCGGCAACGGCCGCGCACGCAGCGGCATCATTGTGCTGCCGTGCGGCGCGGGCAAGACGCTCGTGGGCATCACGGCCGCCTGCACCATCAAGAAGAGCTGCCTCGTGCTTTGCACCAGCTCCGTGTCCGTCATGCAGTGGAAGCGCGAGTTTATGCAGTGGAGCAACATCCAGGACAACCAGATCAGCGTGTTCACTGCCGACCAGAAGGAGAAGGTGCGGCACAGCTAGCCCGCATCGTCGTCCTGCACGGGCTGACACCCCCCCCCCCCCCCCGGCCAGTTCTCGGGAGCAGCAGGCATCGTCGTCTCGACGTACTCGATGGTCGCCAACACCGGCAAGCGCAGCCACACGTCGCAGAAGATGATGAATTTCCTCGAGTCGCGCGAGTGGGGCTTCATTCTGCTCGACGAGGTGCACGTCGTGCCCGCCAGCATGTTCCGGCGTGTCTTGACGAAGATCAAGGCGCACAGCAAGCTCGGCCTGACGGGTGAGTCGTGGGGGTGTGTGTGGAAGGCGGAGGCCGCATTGGGCAGCACGCTGAGCCCAAACTCTTCGCAGCCACGCTCGTGCGTGAGGACGAGAAGATCGACGAGCTGAACTTCTTGGTGGGGCCCAAGATGTACGAGGCCAACTGGATGGATCTGGCCGCCAAGGGACACATTGCGACAGTGCAGGTGAGGCCTCGCGCGTGCCCTCGCCCTGCGCCGCGGGCTCTCGCAGCTGACGCAGGCCCTCTCAGTGCGCCGAGGTGTGGTGTCCCATGACGCCCGAGTTCTACCGCGAGTATCTGCGCGAAAAGAGCCGCAAGAAGATGCTGCTCTACTGCATGAATCCGGCAAAGTTTCAGGCGTGTCAGTTCCTCATTGCCTACCACGAGAACCGCGGCGACAAGATCATTGTCTTCTCCGACAATGTCTATGCGCTCGAGGTGCGTAGCGCAGAGCGATGCGAAGTTGTTGACGCTGGCTCTGCACGCTGATCGCCCCTTGACGCTGCTGCGCCCCAAGGCATACGCCAAGAAGCTCAACAAGCTCTACATCCACGGCGGCATTCCGCAGACGGAGCGCATGCGCATTCTGCAGCACTTCCAGCACAATCCGCAGGTCAACACGATTTTCCTCTCCAAGGTCGGCGACACGAGCATCGACCTGCCCGAGGCGACGTGTCTGATCCAGATTTCGAGCCACTTTGGCTCGCGGCGCCAGGAGGCGCAGCGCCTGGGGCGCATTCTGCGCGCCAAGCGCCGCAACGACGAGGGCTTCAATGCCTTTTTCTACAGCCTCGTCAGCAAGGACACGGCCGAGATGTTCTACTCGACGAAGCGACAGCAGTTCCTCGTCGACCAGGGCTATGCGTTTCGCGTCATTACGGAGCTCGTGGGACAGCAGGAGATGCCGGACCTCGTGTACAAGACGCAGTCGGAGCAGATTGAGGTGAGTCCGGGCCGCCCGCCGCGCGCTCGCAGCAGCACA